TAATTTTTAGCAATTAAAATAAAAAAAAGCTTTTTTTTGGGTCCAGAATTTGAAAAAAATTCCGACAGGGAAATGGTTAAATCCACCCTTAGTCAAAAAGCACGAAAGTTGTGTGTTTAAATGTAATGCTAGGATGAAATATGATGACTCAATGCATATTAATAAATAAATACTAAAAACAATGTTAAAACTTAACGTAAGTAAAAAATCAAAATTTAAATTCAATGGCAAAAATTTACTTTCAGTGGCATTATAATTTTTTTTTTGAAAATCTTAACTGTGCAAGTATAAATTTTTTGTTTCAAGCTCTAGAAATTATTTAAACACTATTTTTACCCCCCCACTAGTTGCAACTCTTGAAAAAATTTCTACGAGTGCCTTTATTCGACCAATATTTTCCCATTTAGTTCTACGAATTGTTCAGTGGATAGCTCTCGGTTGTGTGTTTAAATGTAATGCTAGGATGAAATATGATGGCACGATGCATCTGAATAAATAAATGATAAAAACAATGTTAAAACTTTAAGTGAGTAAAAATTCAAATTTTAAATTCAACTGACTTTTAGTGGCAGTAGAATTTATTATTAGTTTTATTTTTTTGGTGAGAATTTTCACTGTGCAAGTATAATTTTCTTTTCAAGCTCTAAAAATTATTTACCCACTATTTTTGGAATTTTTTTTCTTCCTGCTAGTTGCAACCCTTGAAAAAATTTCTACGAGTGCCTTTATTTGACTAATATTGTTCCATTTAGTTCTACGAATCGTTCAGTGGATGGCTCATTTCAAAAGACATCCGTAACCTTCTGTTTTAACAGAAAAAAAAAATTGAAATGCACAAAAAAAAGGGGTCATTCCACTTTTAAAGGTCACTGAAGGATAAAGGGTCATTTTTCACGTAAGATAAAATTTCGTTTACTATTTATTTTTTCGTTCAAAGAATCACTCTTTTTACCTCATAGCATCAGGAATCGTTATTTGGAATTGATATTGTGTTGCCATTTTTTTCTTCATGCCGCCCATTACAGATTTCTTTTATTTGTTCGTTTCCTTACCTCTTATTCGAGGCAACGGTCATTGTTGTCTTTGCAAAAAAGAAGACAAACAGGAAAAAAAAAAAATTGAAGAACAATTTGTTGAATGAAAGTTTAGTTTTCCTTCGGGTACAATACTTTCAAAATTCATTTTTCTCGACTAGATGACAATTCTTTTGTGATTATTCTGAGAATCTTAGCTTTCAAAGAACAGAAATTGAGCATCGAATTCAGAATTCTGTATTTCGGGATCAGTGGGCTTTTGTTGGTTTATGTAGCTTTTCTTTGGTTTTATTATTCTTTTCGAATTCTACGGAACAATTTTTCCAAAAAGGTTTTGAATTTAAACAGTTTTATTTTTCATTCAGATGGCACTTGAAATTACATAGTACTATCGCCAAGGAAACTTTCAGATTTGCTTTCGAGTTTTTGCGATACCTTTTCAACCATTAAGAGGCCTACCATCGCCATTTTAACTTCTAGGTGAAATTATTTATTTGTGTTTTCTCGATATTTTTTTTCTCCTTGAGTCAAAGCTACCATTAAAAAATTTTTTTTATATTATTATTCGCTTATAAAAGGGTAGCTTTATTAGATAAAGAGAAATAAATATTGATAATTTTTAAAACTTCTATAAATTTTTCTTAAAAACAATAAAATGATGCAATTTGTGGTTTTGAATAAGTAATTGGAAACCACGCGCTTCTCAGTGTTCAGATTTTTTTTAAATCTAATCTTACAGCAGCTTAAATAGATGAAAAGCGATTTCGATCGCTAAAAATTTCCTTTGAAGTTAATTGGAAAAAAAAAATAAAGATACTTACCTCAAATATAAAAACTAATAATTATTCACTATTTAAATACCTTTGAAAAATTGTTGCTTGTAGAATTGTATTGGCATAATTTGTGAGTAAAAATTAATAGAGAAACTAAAATATCGCACGCTTTATATCTCAAATTCTGATTGAGTTTGAGTAACAGCCTTATATTTTACCTGCATCGAAAGATCGTGCCAAATAGAGTAGATATCCATTATCAGTTGAGAAAATTAAATGAAAAGCTTATTTAGATTTTTCTCTTCCGGTCTCCACTCCTTTGACAGCTGAGTTCGGTCCGGCGAGGAGTAGTTACCTTGATTGGGTTGAGGAAGGACCAAACCAAACTGAACTATCAAAAGGATGGACTTGGGCCTAAATCTAAGGTATTATTACGCCATTTATACGGCATGGGATAGACCATAGCCATCTAGATGGGACTAACTAGTCACAGATGATCCGAATCCATTCATAATTATCTAGTTATGGATGGACTTAGGAAGGAAAAATTCCAAACATGCTTTTTAATCCCTTTATTTAATTTTCACAACTAAACTTGTGATGCCACAATACATATTTCCTCTCTTTTAAAATTTCGTAAATTAATTATTTTTTTTAATCATTCTTAATTGAATTTTAATTAAGCCAATTATTACATTTTATAAAAAAGCTAATATCTATGGAATTACATTAATATTCAGTATTTAACTTTTTTTTATTGCATTAAAACTGAATTAGGTTTCTGAATTTTCTTTTTCTGAGTTGTAAAGTTGAATGCAGAAATTGATTTTCACCAACTTTTTTTCATATTAAAAAAAGTGTGAAGAAAAAAAGTTTGAAAGGAATAACAATGAGGAGTTTTTTTTTTCCCTTCATAAATTAGAAAGTTTATTTGAAGAATATTTTGCTTTTTATATTTTGCTGCTAGGAATGCACAAAATATTCAGTTAGGGTCAATCTTGCTCAATTATTCGGTTAGATCAAACTTCTCTTTTTTTTTATATTAATAGCTTCGGTAGCCCAACGACTTGCATGCGAAGTCGAGCACTTTACGGTAGAACAGTTTAACTATGATCAATATCGCACACCCTTAGTCCCTACGCAGACTGATTCGAGTGGTCACCCCCCCGCACACTGATGCTTGACTTCGGTGATCTTCTGGGAACCGTGTCTTAACGATTAGACCACTACGGGACTATCGAGTTATAGAAGATTATTTTTAAATTACAAAGGCACTTAACTTCGACATTGAACATTAATTCGCAAACTTGTACAAATATTTAAATATGTACATTATAAAATTTTTTCACGTGAAAGATTAGATATTTTCAATATCAGTAGTAAAATTAGGTGCGTAAACCCACGGATTTTCACAAGGTTTTTGATACATTAAACTACATTTGCTACGATTTTATAGGCCACATAGTTTTGAAAATTTAGATTTTTTTTTTATAATACTATTGCGATCCTTAAATTTAGTATTGTCATTTTAAATAATCACTTTATGACATGCTCTAGTCGTGATGATTTTATCTCAAATCAGTGTTTTTTCATTGCGAAACGGAGGACGTGATTCTCGGCGACGATCTTTTTACGAGAGAAAATATCACGCGTTTTTTTTTTCTTTGCGTTGTATTAAAATACCACTGTTATCGAACTAGCAACAGCAATATGCAATTTTTTTGATTATATTATAGCAGGCAGAAATCAGAAAAATTCAAACAAAAATCTTAAAAATTACATATAGTACGTATATGTATAATAAATTGGCGGATATGCTGAGAATTCTTAACTGAATAATAACATTTTATATTACTTAAGTATTAGTTGTTTCGAAATGTAATAACTTACTTAACTCTCTCAATTTGAATAATTATTTACTATGAGCAAACAGATAATTTAATAGTCCATTTAAAATTTTAATTTCTTTTTAAAAGACTATTTTTAATGTGTTCTTAGTAATTCTGATAGCAACAAAAACTTATTAGTGAGCAACGCCTTAGATCACTATAGTAAAAATTTTGCAACTTTTGTGTGGCAAAAATCATTTTGAATAAACTGAAACTAATCTTCGTTACACAAAATTTGATTTTCTCTTTTAAGAATTGTCAATAGGTTCTCCCAATTTTATAAAATTTCATAATAGAAAACTTCGATAAATAAAGTTTTTTATTATTATTATTATTCAACTGTATAAAAGAACTTTAAAACAATAAATAGAGTATATTAGATATTAAAGTTACTGCAAACACTTTACAATTTTTGGATGATTCGGATAACAAATATTTGAGAATCAAAGTTCCAGATTTTAAAAATCCTCAGGGGAAAGAAAAAAAAAAAAAAAAAAGACGNAAAAAAAAAAAAAAAAAAAAAAAAAAAAAAAAAAACGGAATTCCTTAGGTATTGTATAATCTAAGATAAGTAAGCTTCCAATTATTGATGTTCGAGTTTTATACGTATACATATATATATATATAAAGTGAAACCTCTCCGACCACTATCCTATCCACTGTAAATTGTTCGTTGATGGAGGTTAGAGGTTGCCTCCATTGACTTGTTATTGAAGGAACATGATTTTAGTCAGTGTGATTTTGATAAAAAGACAGATATATGAATAAAATTTAGTATCTATAAAAATGATTTCAACTGATATAATTATGCGTTATTTTTAAATAAATAAACAATTATGTTTTTTTGTTTAAGTTTGCATTTAATTTCATATCATAAAAATTAGTTAGCCTTAAAAGATGAGAAGAGATGCTTGTTTTTCCTACTTTAACTTTCAATTCTAAAAGTAAATCATTGATAGCATCACCTTTAGTGCACTCTGAGTGTAACATGAGGTAGTATCGTCAAAAAGAGATCTCTAAATAAGAGACTCATACAAATATTTCGAATACATTTTTTAACCTACATATTTATTTTGTTCAAATTTTTTATTTGATATTTTTTAGTGTCCATTAATTTGACCTTTTCTGCATTTCGCAGATGATTGATCGGTCACTGGTAGAGGTTTTAAAGGTCTTCTTTCACGCAAAATCTATGGAAAAAATTCTGCGCCTACTAAAAGTGGTTGCTACATGATGAAAGAGTTGGTCTTTCCTGGCGGTTTCACTGTATATATTAAAAGTAAGAAAACACTTTCATAATCAAATAAAAACAAGGCATTATATTTATTTTAAAATGCTTGGCTAATAATATATTAACAAATGCTTTAACAAATCAGTCTTCAAAAGGTACAATGTCAGGAATGCAAACGCTAGTGAAAGTTTCAAAACTTATGTTTGCATTGTCCACAACTGCTATCAGTAGTGTCACGCCATCACTCCACTTCCTTTGTAAAAACGCTATTTCAGAATATCTGGGAATTGGATCGGATGACCTGAAAAATAAAATGATAGTTTTATAGCAAATTTTTAACATCACAACATGGAACTAAAGTTTGCCAATATAGTACACCAGTCAACATTTCACATTTTTTAAAAAAAATTTATTTTGGGGTTTCAGAAGGCCATAAAGTGAAAAAAAAAACTTTCCACAACATACAGGCACAACCAAGTTTCATTATCTATGAACGCTTGGTCACAAGGCCATTGTCCGATTTCTGCTCTATTTTATATTCAATATAAATTAGCAGAATTAATAACACATGTGATTTTTTCATGCAGTAATGAGTAAAAGATAGGCTCACAAGAAAAGTCAAGCATGCTGTCAGTACTGTACTACCATGTTGAATGGAGTCAAACAGGAACTGGACAAAATGAAGGAATATTTCATCAAAAACAAAATGGGTGTTTTGAAATGGCCAGGAAACATTTCAAATCTAAATCCCATACATGAACTATAAATATTTGCAGGCAAAGACTTACAAAGAGGGATTGTAAAATAAAAAATAGCCGCATTTCATCATTGATAGAAGAACAGGGCTGCCAACTAAATTTACACAAAGAAAAAGGGAAAAGAGGATCATAAATGTTAAGATGATAACTACAGTAGGGAACCGACTATCCGGAACGGTCAGGACCATCGCTATTCCGGATAACTGATTTTTCCGGTTTTTTTAATCGCTACAAAAAGCCGTTTTTCTAATTGTTAAACTCAACTAAAAAAAAAAAAAATTTGGAAACAATCTTAAAAATAAGAAAAAACGATGAAATAATACACTAATGATTATTTCAAAAATGATGGTAAGGTAAACATCTTTAAAAAAAGAAAGAAANAAAAATCGCTTTTTAAATTGTTAAACCCAACTAAAAAAGAAAAAAATTTGGAAACAATCTTAAAAATAAGAAAAAACGATGAAATAATACACTAATGATTATAAGGTAAAACATCTTTAAAAAAAGAAAGAAAAATCGTAAAATCTTATGAGGAAAAATTTTTTTTTTTAAAAATGGCAAGAAAATTTATCGAATTTAGTTCCGGTTTTTTGGTTTTCCGGATAACGGGTTCTGTACTGTAGTTTCATATTTCAAGAATGCACAATATTGTCAAATGTATTAAATTTGCTTCATCTAGAATTTTAAAAAAAAGGAAAAAATAAAGCACAAATATTAAATGAATTCTTTATTATTTTCTATATCTTTTTTTTTTTGTTGCTCCTGGGACTGCACAATGGAACACAGCTGATGTTAAGAAAAGGCAAAAGTCATAGATGGCAACTTACTTCCACAAGAAAAAGTGTGGAAAAAATCATAGAAAAACTGCTCCAGAAGAAATAAATCTCTTTCAACCAAGTGGCAGGAAAAGAAATACAAATGAAAAATATTTTCTTAAACAGTTTATAATAGGGGCGGCTGCTATTCGATATTTGGCCCTTTTGCCGAATAGTAACTTAAAATCGTACCATTTACTATACAGGGGCATATATGGCAACGTTACTTTTAAAAAAAGTAAGGAGTAAAAAGTTCTTATTTTAAAAAGTAACGAGTAAAAAGTACAAGTACTAAACAAAAAAAGTAACGATTTAAAAGTACATTTCTAGGAAATCGAAAATTCAAAGTAACCTAAAATTTTATTGAATAATATTCTTATGTTCTTTAATGTTTTTGCAAAATTGTTGTTATTTATTTAATTATTTTTAATTTTGAAAGTTATGGACATTAATTTATTTTTAAATTCGGAAGAATATTATAATATAATTTTATAATATAATCGTATAATATAATTTTAAAATCAAATATAATTTTAATATCAAACTTTTTATGGATTTGCACGAAAAAGAAATTTTATCTATTGATTTTAATTTTTAGTTTATTATTTTTATTTATTTAAATTACCATTGATTTAAAATTGTTTTACTCTTTAGAAACGCGTTTTAAAAGCACAAACATAAACAAAGCAAACACGGGGTTTCAGATAGCTTTGTGATCTTTGAGCTAGTAAAAAATAATTGAATGTGCAGTATAAGTTGAAACAGAAGGTATTTAAACACGAAGTTAGCTGTGAATGCATATATATTGCACATTAATTTTATAAATTAAAAAAACATAAGCATTTTTTTTTAATTTTAATTTCTTTTTTTTTTAGAAAGCTTACCGAGTTTTAGAAAAAAGTAACGATTTCATTCGATATTTCCGTTACAAATACTTGTACTTTTTCCCTAAAAAAGTAACGAAAGTACAAGTAAAAGTACTAAATTTAAAAAGTAACGAAGTACAAGTAAAAGTACGTACTTTTTACTTGTACCGGCGGTACAAGTAACGAAAGTAAAAGTACTGCCATATATGTACAGGGGTCTGTCTAGGTTTTTCTGAAAGGTCCCTATTTTGTGTAAATTTAGACATAATTTGTGAAAAATTAAAAATTATACTAAAAAACCAACACAAAAATATGGATTTATCGTTTCATAAGGGATACAAAAATAAAATTTTAAGAAAAAGTATTTTGTGAAACTACCGTTTTTCCCAAAGTTGAAGTTGTGGTGGTACTACTAAACAGTAGTAAATTCGGCCTGGGCAGACCCATGCCATACATTATTAAAAATGGTTTTTACACATATATGTTAAGTTCCAAAACTTGCAAATCTATGTTCTGAAAGACTAATGGAAAAGCAAAATTTGAAAATAGATTTTACTTTATATTGAACCATGAGTTTCGTGCTGCTGATTTTTCTTTTATTATTTTCGGCAAGTCAATTCCATAGTTTTTTTCAACAAGTTTTGTTTTAAGAATTAAGAATGCTTTTCAGCATTTAAAGGGAGTGTTTCTAATAGACTTAATTCTTTTATTGTCACTTTTCTCTGTACAAAAGATAACTGGTAAAGTAAAAAACTGTGATTTTCAATGTTGAAGTTATATTTTAAGAACTAAGAACACTTTTTATTTTCTTCTCTTGCTTTTGTTAACTTTTCTTTTTAACAGTGCTTTCATTTTGGCACAGCAGTTTTGAAAGAGTGTTTCGATTCTTTCTTAAAATACAACTATGTGAAAAAGTTCAAACGAAATTTTCATGGTTAATCAGTTTTTTAGATATCTTAAATATTTCTATTCGATAACTATTATAGTTTTTATTCCCTTTACCCCATAACAATAATACAGCTACGTTTTAATTGTTGTTATTATTATTATTTCTTGAACAAAAATTTTTTTTTGCTGTCTAGTAGTTGAATATTCCATATTTCGCAAAATCACTATTCCTTACATCTCTATTTTATAATTGCAATCTAATTAAAAGGATAGTATTAAGTAACAAAAATGTGAAAACTAAAAAATAATCATTTTTTAAAGAACTTTATAAGAAATTAAAGTAATAGCTGTTCTTCATTACTTAACAAAAATTAGTAAACCTATTTTTATATGATGTTTTTTCATAATAGTTCTTTATATAATAAAGAACTATTCTGATAAAACATCAAATTTTTTAATATAATAAAATTGACACATCCCACACTAAATATATAGATTACACTACTCTATATTATGTATTGACTTCACAATTACAAAGTAATTTAAAATTATACTTAAATGTACACAATAATATAATACATATATAGATTTAAAAATTCTGCATAAAACTAAAATAAATATGAAAATAGGTTTTTTCCCTTCAACTTTCTGGTACTATATCAAACTATAAGATATGAATTTCAGCTATTCTTATAACATGCATGGCTAAACAAGAATAATATTGCTCATAATTAGTTTCTTCCAGTATCCTGAAAGAAATAGGTTTCTTCTGGACACAACATTGACTCTGCATCAAATAATAAAAGCTAATTCAGTTATTCTAGAATTTCCTATTGACTTTTTATTATAATGTTCTCTGTTTCAATTTCCCCCAACACTTTAGATTAATTTAAAATCGTAAATCTGATGCAGAAGAAATTCTTTCTCCAAATTTTCTGTGAATTTGAAATCTCATGCAATGACAAATTTCTCTCAAACTTTTTGATTAATCGGAAGCTACAAGTAGATGAAATAAACAACTCCACTGATTTTTAAAGCTAAAAAAATTACAAAATGCACAGTTTATAGAAAGAAAAAACAAGAAAAGAACCAGAGGGATAGCTTTTGATCGTTATGAATAGAACACATTTCCCCCCTTTAGTAAGCACGACAAATCAAGTTCATTTCTAAAGAATTATACGCATTCAATCATTTTAATACAATTCCTGTCTTAATACAGGCATTTCTAAAAAAATATAAAAAATAACTTACAATTTTAATAATATTAACAGCGGTCATAAGATAATTTTTTTAAATCTTGCATAAATCATAACTTCAAAAAATGATGGACAATGACCATACAACACAAGACATACTACTTTCAAATACTCGATATTTTTTTTTAAAAAAAAAATAATCACTGAATTAAATTATTGAAATAAAATTAAAAAGAATTAGAATGATTTGTAATGTTTTTAAAGAGATTTCAATAAATAAGGGTAAAAATAGAATCATTCTAAAATTATAATTTAAAAAATTTATACTAACTAACCAGCTTGATGACTAATTAAACAAATAAAAAAATAATAACAAGCTAAACTTTTTCTTAAAGCAAATCCAAGAAAAGTGATATAAAATATGCTTATGAAAGATATAACAGGCTTTTCTATCTAATATCTTTTTATATTATTGGGTTCAAGAACACTTAATTTAAATAAAAAAAAATTACATCTGATCTTCTTTTAACTAACAGTGATAATCTTTTAACTAATACAGATAGTGATTTAAAGTATAATTGGCATAAAATTAAAGTTTACATAGGAAACAAGTGTGAATTTATTTTTACACATAAATTACAACTTGATGACAGAACACCAAGTTAAATATAATTTATATCATGTCATATAGATCAAAACTGCAGCCAGAATATCACATAAAAATAATAATAATCTAATTGTGAAATTAGATTAAGATTAGATAAAAATCATATACAACTCATTCTAATTTTTTTAATTCTTTCATTTGCTGAATGAGAATATATAATGCAAGTTTTAAATAAATTGAATTAAAATAATTTATGTTATATACAATGAACTCTACTGGAATTATAATACAATATAATATGAACTACTTACCTCATAACAATAATTCTTAAATTTGGAATGCCCGGACAAGACTTTTTAAAATGTGTTCCTGGTTTATAAACATCATATGAAATTTCTAGAATCTGATTATCTGAGAAATATCTGCAAAAAATTTTATTGAAATAAATTACACAATAAATTGAGTAGACTTTGAAACTCTTTTAAATTCTTTTCCATTAATAAATTTAAAAAAAAAAAATTAACTTTAAACTATATTTAAAAAAGACCCAATTTAATATTAAGAAAACAGTAATTTTCTAAAAATACTATATTCCAAATACTATTTCTAAAAATACTATTTTTTTCATAGTTTTGCGAAGAAGACAATAAATCGTAAAAAAAAAGTGACCATTATTATTTTCGACGACTTTTTGCTTTTCATATCTTTGTAAGACTGAAATTATGTTTCCATCAATTATAGTGACGAAAATGAAGGACTTTTAAAAACCTTGCACTAAAATTATTTTAAGGGCCCTATTTTCCGAAATAAATATTCAGTAATTCTTAAGGACTTTTAAGGACCACAGGAACCCTGTAGTTAAAAAGTGTCATTTAGTACTAAATATCCCATCAGTAATGCAAGGAAGAAAGCAGGCGAGGAACTTTAGAACAGTTCAATATTAAAATACTAGATGCAATCTTTCATTAATCTAAGTTTTACAATTAGTCAAGAGGTTGCAAAAAGAGAACACATATACAGATGGCATATACATAGAGTTATTTTAAAAATGCGATCTAAAAGCTATTGAGATTTTAAGAAAAAAATGGCTATTTTAAAGAAATCAAAGAGTTACAAAGAAAGTGAAAGATAGAACTGTAAGACTGTCTTTAAATGTAACCAACCAGAAAATCAAAGATCTTAATTTAGTTTCAAGATATATCAACAGCAGTAGAGTCATTAGAAAATGAATTGCATAACACAAGTTTAACTTTTTGTACAATTGATTTCATCTACAGGTTTCAAAGAAAAACTTATAGGATTAATGTTACTCAAAGGTCAAGCATCTAGAGATGATAGAGCAATTGTTGATTTTTAACAGCGATTTTATGATTTTAACACATGATTTTATGAGATGGAATAGTTTTCCTAACTCATAAAATCAGCAGAAAAAACTAATGTTTGCAGTTCTTTCCTTATTTGGGTCTTCTTTGTCATAAGTACAAAAATTTTTAAGCCTTTTTTATATACTCAATAATTATAATCTTTTAATGATTAAGAACCTGATTAAGACTAATTTGGGAAGTCGTCTTACATTTAAAATTAAAAACCCAGATTTAAAATTGAAAAAATACAAATTTGAGAGACACAAACTTTTAACGGGGATGGAAAGCCATTGTATATATTAGTGTTGGTTTTTCATAATGATTTTAGTTTTTATATACTTTACCACTTTATTTTACATACTTACAGATACATAGTTTAACTAAGAATTAAAATTAATTGTAGGGAGTGTTGTGAAGTGAGAAAAGATGAAGTGTTAACAAATAAGAAAGGCATGTTACGACGGTTCGTATATACAGAAGATGAACAAAAGGAGATACACGAAATAAGTTTACAGGATGGATAGGAGAGTTGAAGAGGATTGACGACACTAAATATACCTTGATCAGTTGAGCGTTCTTAGTAAAAACCAGGGTAAGAGTATCCTAATTAAGTGAATAGCAATATATCTACATACAAAATGTAAGTTTTAAAAAAATGTAGCACTCAAAACTGATTTCAACTGTCAATAATTGGCTCTATTGACTAATGAGTTGGTCAATCACTGCTTTAGGACCTTAAACAAACATTATTTAGAAGCATAGTTTAAGCATTTATAAAATAGTAGAATTTTTATTTAAATAATTAGCAAACTCAAGATAATACATAAATATCTACTCACTTCTCATTTCTGCATGCTTTATCAGTTAGCTTAGCTATCTGTGTAAGTTTTAGAGGACTTAAAACATCAGCTGAAAGAAAACAAAAGTGATTTCTATATGGTTGGAAAAAAAATTTACATACACAATTCTGCATTTGAGATGGAAAAAAAAAATCAAAGTTTATTTTAAATTTTTATAATGGCTAATAAGAAAAATGTCAATAATTTTCCTGAATTTGAACAACACTCAATGATTTATGCGGTTGAAGAATTCGGGTACTTTTAAAAAGTTATATCTATTAATTTTAAAGCAACATTTTATTTTTTGAGCATTAACTTTGAAAAAAAAAATCTAAATAGGCACAAATTTTGAATAGAAATATAAATAATATTTTCTATAGAATATCTTTGAAAAGATATTGATGATTTATGCCTTTATTTTTAAAAAAACTACTTTTAATGTAAAGTAGAAACATAAATTTTAGTCTTTTTATAATTCTATATTATTCAAAACTCTTTTGATGTTGGAATATATCCAGCAAAAAATTCCTGAAACTTTTTAATTATTTAATTGGGAGAAATAATGTATAACTAATAAGCTTTTTCTTAATACATAAGTAAACTATAAAATTAATAGTTATATGAAATAGGCAATTAACTATTGCAAATCTTTTTGATTTGTTTAAACATGCTGTTATTACTGTTTACATCACTAACATTAGAGATGCCGAAAGAAAAATTTTAAGTTATACTTGTGAAATAAAGATATCTTTTAAAATATATTACTTATTCTTATTGTATAACCCGTCATTAAATGCTAATTGTCTTGAGAATGAAACCATGATAAGTTTTTCAATATTCAGTCTCTCTAACAGAGAATGGTGGATACATACAGTAAAAGCTGGATGTAATGAGTATTATAATGACATATTATAAGAAATTGGTTTGTAAGACATATTTATTAATTGCAGTCAAGTTTCATTTTGTGAATGATTAATTCTACTTCAGGGTCTCAATAAATAAAATTAAAAAAAAAAAAGTTTGCGTGCCTGGAAAGATATTGAAACAAACTATCAATAAAAAGGAACACTAAAAGTCATTATAGAATATCATATCAGACGATAATGGAGAAATAATTTATTTTTTTTGGTGGAAACTTTATTTAATTTCTCAGCCATGTCTCAGCCACAAATCTTGTTATATTTAAAGCAGAACTAATTTCTTGCTGTAGAAATTTTTTTTAACTGTGACAAACCTCTCTAGCACTAACATCTCTCTGCAAAATATTTTTAATAGTAATAAATACATACATTACTAATTTGTTAAAACAGTAAGTGCTTTGTGTTTATTAAAGAAGCCTAAATAATAAAGAATAAAACTGTTTATAATATTTTTAAATCGTAAATGGAATAATCTTTTTCCCATAAACATATAAACAAATATATATTCTAATATTAAGGATGATATTCTTTCAAAATTGAATCCATGACTTTAACTACGAAAAAAAAGACTATAAAATTACAAGTATTTACGATATAATTTCACAAATTAGACTTAATAAAAAAAAAAAGAGTCAAAATAATATCATTTTAAAGATATTGGATTTTGAAAATTATATAATTGTACCTCTTTGGCAGTTATAGCAATTGACGAAATCAATTGCAATAAATGACAAAAAAACAATAGAAACATTCTGTTAAAAAGTAAATGTTCTAATGTGCGATTCAAATTTCTAACATTGCATGAAATAAAATGGGATCCTTAAAAAGCATGTAAAAATCAATAGCAATTGCCAAAAAACAAACAAACAAAAAGATCAAAACACTGCAGGGACTTCCAATACTATCAGAGAAAATGCAGAATTCAGAATTTCAAAATGTGCCGTAATAGCATTAAATAAAAAATAGCGAAGTTTTCTTTTCCTTTCTTAAAAAAGAAAAAAAAATGGAGATCAGCAGCAATAACGGCCGAAAAGTAAATAAAAAAAGGTGAAATCATCACATTTAAAGCGAGTAATCAAATGTGCAATTTGAATGCCATAATAAAAAGATACGAAACTAATTGTTTCTTTTAAAAACAATCCTAACTATGCACGGATTTAGGCAAATTGAAATTGAAGCAAAACATGAATGTGAAGAAAAAAAATTATAACTTAAATGTGTGTTTAGAGCTCTAGTTGTGTGGTAATAATATCAGAAATCAATTCTGGAAAGAAAAAAAAAATCTTTTCTGCAGGCGCTCTGTGACAATGCTGCTGTGTCACGCTTCTGCTATGAGTAACTAGTTAATTAATGATAAAAGTCAAGTATGGCAGAAAATAATACATACCCAAAGGATGGCAGATACCAGGTTTGACTAGTGGACATATATTAGATGCATTCCATAAAAACTCATTCATATTAATAGGAATCTCTTCAATATCACTAGAATCCCCATCAGATTCTTCTTTTTCACCTTCAACTGCAGCCTTAACATCAGTCCAAGACTTTTTATTTTGTATATTACGATAATGACAAGGAAAAGGTTCAGTTCTATGATGTCTTCGGTTGCGAGGAAATTCACTGTGAAGTTGCCGGCTATTAGGCAGTGGATAGTATTCATTTGCAAATGGACTGCTTAAGCTTCTGGAATTTTGACCATCAATCAATGTGATAGGTTGAGGCATTCCAAATGGTGGGCCATGCCTGATTGATGGAAATGGTGCTAAAGGTGAAAAGTTATTAGCAGTGAAAGCAGATCCAAACATAGTTGAAAGCATAGATGTTGCATAAGAATAAGCAGTTCGGTGCACTTCAGCAACAAATTCTTGTGAAGTAAGGTTAGGCAAAACCCCAGAAGAGTTATTGAGGTCAAGAGGATTTAGAGAGGAATTACCGAGAGGAAAATTAGGTGCAGGTAGGCGAAGAGGTAGAGAATTAGGATTTGAAAACTGGGGGTTTCTAAAAGGGATTGAATCACCTGGATTATATCTTGGGGGTTCAGCCAAAATCCCAGGGGAACTAGAGGATACAAATGGTTTTTGATCTTCAGAACCATTGTAACTACGATAGTCACTATCACTATGTTGGTTTCTTGAATTGTTATGTTCACGATAATCCATAATATTATGCCGGGTATGAGGAGAACTTCGATCTGTTCGAACAATATCATTTCTATGTTCCCTCGAGGAACTTACAGTACTATTATGATATGGGGGTCTGCGATAGGGAACGTCTTCATTGTGCCTAGAGCCCCTTTGCCACGATTGATTATGGTACCTGTTAAATTGTCTGTTTCGACGTAATGTACGTTGATAATCTTGCATATCTCTATAACTATTCCATATTCTTCCTTGAGGTCGATTTGCCACTGTAGACTGATAACCGCCTCCTCTATTTGACTGCTGTTCTTTAGAAAAATCCATTATATAAACTTCTTTGCCTGGCTGTACGTGAAGGGGCAATAAATTTGCAAAAGGTCGTGCAGCACACACAAGGTCCTTTCGGTATATCTCTGGAAACTGAATCCATGATGTCGTGGGCCGATCATTACGGACATTAGGTTGTTCCCTCTTACAATTTTCTATTTTTTGCAATTTTATTTTATTAAGATTTAAAGGAATATTGGAATTTTTATTAGAATTAGTTGTTCCATTGCACACCTCAAGTATTTTGATATCATCATCACTTTCAGATTCATCTTGGTCATTTGCAACTTCAGTTTCCATTGCTTCATCTTCGTCAGACAGCAGATCTATGACAGCAAGTGGAGTAGTTTCTTTTTTGGTGACTTCTACTAAAGTGACGTCATCATCTACATTCAAGTTCCGTTGGTTATTCTCGTCACCACTGAGCTCAAGCTCATTATAATCATACGAAGAGCAGCTCAGAACTTCTGAGTTCTGCTCATCAATATCTGAGGTGTCGTTTATAACAGCACACTGAGAGTCTGATGACTGAGAATTAGCTTCAATATTAGTGATCCCTTCTTCAGTATCAGCTACAAAAACACCAGTAGATTTCTCTAAGGAATCCAACAAAACGTCAGTACTCTGAGAATCCACATCAATATCAGCAGCAGAGGCACTTAAAGGAGGTTTCAGAGAACTAGATTCATCAATATCCAATTCAATTTCTACATCAGCATCAGCTTTTGAATGTTCTAAATTACGAGATGAGGATGAAATGATATCAGAATTAATTTGTAACTGATCTTCATTAACAGCATCAGTTTTTTTACTCTCTTCATTTACTTCACTTTCTGTTTCAGTAGATGTAGAAGCTATGCTTTTTGAAATGATGGCCACATCATTGAGTAAACTATTGCTCTCTTCTGCAGCTTTTGAGTCCTTGCCCTTATCAATCTCTTCAGAAAATACACCAGAAAAAGTCAATCTTTTGTTTCTACTATCTTCGGGTAAAGGAGACTGGGTTTTCCTCTTTTTTCTATTTTTTTCAACAGCTGCAACTTTAGTTTGAGATTTGTTTTTCATCCTAAATAAATGAGATATGCAACATGAACAATGCTAATAGTTTAATTTAAAGTAGAACACTTAAATATAAATTTTTAATAAGACTTAAAACATTTTTAATTATTAATTGAAAACTAAAGTAATAAAAATTTAATGAATTTACTAGTGACTAAGTTGTTTCAATGAAAAGAAATTTTACACAATGTTTATTTTAGAATCTTATAAGTTAAAATAAATAAATAAAGCTTTAAAGGAGTATTAAAACATTCTTGTAACTTATCATTTGATTGATTTTAGCAACATTTGATAAATGATTTTGTGCTTTAACACAATTATTGAACAATAATAAAATTATAAAAGCTGACATAATAACTATATTAGTTTGTTTTTATTTTTTAAGTCATATGAACTGATTGCATGACAATAAGCTACGCGAATCATTAATCAACACAAGTCTATTTCATAATTTCCAGAAAACTAATAAAGAATGCAAAACATCAAATGAAAATCTAATATGAAAACCTAGATTCAAAATTACCCCAAATGAAACCTAAAGAAAAAATTAATATTAAATTAATTGTATAAGCTAGACAAGATTCCAGGCTATCAAGATTTCCATACCAGTCACATCAACTGATCTTAATACCCTTTTAATCTTGTTCTATTCATATAAATAATGATTCCCTCTCGAAATTTAAAAAAATGCAAAACATATTTTTTCATTGTATTACAATCAAGATGGAAAAAATTTTATAAATAGAATATTTAATTATACAATATATATATAAGTTCAAAATATAGAGAAAACATGGAAAAAATTACAGAACAATGGAAAAAAAGGGGGGGAAGAAAAATAATAAGAAACTGGAGAGAAAAAACTCCAAAAAAGGAGAAATTTCTTTTTTTTTTTTATAAAAATCCGGAAAATAAAAGATATAATCTTTTCATCAGCTCACACGATTATATCTGCAATAAGGAGGGCCTTCCAATATTGTATCAATAGAGCCAAAGCAAAATATATCAATACAATAGTGTGAGGAGCACTAAAAACTTTTTACAAAAAAATTACAACAAATAAAATAGAACACAATAAGTAAAACTATCACGTAAAAATAGAAAATAAAATATAAAGAAGATTGCCAGATTGCAAAATATGAAACCAAAAGTGCCAATTGAGGTAAAAGACGGATTTTGTATTAAAGTGCATTCTTACTACTGTACAGAAGTGCAGTACATTCTTACTGCAGTACTGAAAATGGATGTGCGCAAGGTAATATTATATTGGATAATTTAAAGAAGATGAAAATTAAAAAATTTTTCATTTGAGAAAAAAAAAATAGAAAATAGATAAAAACATGAATTGCCTGTTTTGCACATAATTTTAGCCGCGGATTCACCCGAAATAGATTTGCACAGGGTAAAAATTATATAAATTAACAAAGGAATCTTTTAGTATATTTATTTACAATAATATACAATAAACTCATTGATTTTATATACAATTTAATTACTTCAGTTGGGTATGCATTGTTTTTTTTAAAATCAAATTTTGAATGAGTTTATCTATTTGCGTTTTGGATAAATAAATCTTACTACATATTCTTTTAATTCTATTCATTTCATTATAAGTGGTATTTAAATAGATGTACCAAGAAACAATAGAATTTCAAGTAATTAGTTTATTTATATTAAAATCATTTCTTTTATCATATAAATCAACAAAGCAGATATTTTCTTCTTTTATAATACCCATATACCCAAATCCAAAAAATTGAAATTAATATTATCCTCATGATTATGAAGCAAGGATAATTCCTCAGGGTAAATATTAATGGTATATATCATAGGCAAGAATTTTTTTCCTCTGTATAATACATTGTAAATGGAAAAGCAAGGAAAATTTATGAGGTCCAAATAATTGAAGGTAAATAAAACAACAAATATATGAATTACTTTTTACATAAAAAAAACTTACTCTTTTTGATGAGGAACAACTATGAAACCTAACTGAGATAAATAGGAATAAACTAAGTATTTTTCTACACTTAATCTTTGTTTCAGCATGACAGAATAGGCCTCTTCTGTGCTCAAAGGTGATTTGCCATTCATTATTTCTAGACAACCCTAAGAAAAGACATATAAATAGTTAATAAAATATAACTTCAACGTAACACTAGGAGAAAAAATCTGCAAAATCAACTTAACTCTTTTTTGATACATGCAAGTACACAAAATTCCTGATTATTTGTTGAATGTGGTTCACATTTTATAGGTTTATAAAGTTTACTTGGTAGCATTATGTTTTCCGGCAATATTTTGCCATTGCAAAACAGATAAACTAATAATAAATACAGAGCTCATTCTAGGCAGAAAAAAGGGCAGGGTGCAGAAGTTTAAAAAAAAAGGGCATTATTATTCTAAAAAGGCAATAATTTCTTTAATAGGGGTTTGCCTGTTCTATTAAAAAAACATTGTCAATTTCTTTTTCTTACTTTACTAAAAGTAGCAAAGCAATCACATTAATTACTAATTTTATTAATAAATTAACATATATATATCGAGTTAATGAGCTAATTAGCTTAGTAATTTATTTAAAATGCATGCATATATTAATAAAATAATAAATGTATGTTTTTAAGTTTCTGTAGTTATGATTTAATAATTAAAATGATTAATAATTATGATTTAATGGTAGTGGAAGTAACTGCAAACTTTCAATGACAAGTGCAACAAGGGGTGTGATGGCTATTTTTCCTTTCCCATATAAATGTATTCCTATGTATTGACAGCAATGACAAACTAAATAAAAAGAGTTGAAAGTAACAAAAGTTTAAGAAATCCATNTTGTAAAGTCCCTCACACCAACTTTTGTTCATTTATTCTTATACCTTATGCACAAAATATATTCAAATAATAAATAAAATAAAAAAAAACTCTTATATAATAGCTTACATTTTCAAGTAAAAACAGTGATTCTTCAGGGGTGAGAGCTATCTTGTCATCAATCTTATGACCCATATGTTGAACAAGCTTGCCCTAAAAAGAAAAATACAACATCAAATGTAATCGCAAGAAACTATCTTCATTTAATCACTATAATTTTAAAAAATCTTAATTTCTACATAATCATATAGAATAGTAAATAATTATTTTTTTAAAGCAAACATGAATTGAATTTTTATTCTAATTTATTGTATTTTCCTGAGTATTACATGTAGATTAATTGTCGAAAATCGTCATTGCAAATAAGCATGTTTTATACTTTTTTTAAACATCAACTATTCCTATAATACTTATTCCTAAACTATTATATCAGCCATTTTAAGTTTCTTAAACTTTGGTTAGCAGTGTTTTCACTGCAGAAAAAAAATGGGCGAGAATTTCTCACTCTTTCTTAAAAACAGGGTGAGATTTCTAAAAATTAAAAATAACAAAACATGCAAAGAGACTTGGAAAAAAAACCATTTCTTTAATTATAATACATTTTTAACATCTTCTAATTTTTAAAGCATTGAATATTTTTGCTGCACATCATATAGAAAATGTTCTACATCTATTTTTCATCAGCTATTCTCATTAGGTTGCTCAAATGCGTATTTGTTTCGTTTTGATCGTTTCTACCCACATTTGTTTAATTTTCATTTGTCCGTTTCGGAGTAGATGATATTGCCTTTACAAGGTATTTGTCCATCTTACATTAATGCGCAAAAAATTGGGTGCAATGAGAATCTTTTTACAAAATGCGAAAAATTCTCGAATTTTGAAATTGGTTTACAGAATGCGCGAATTTCTCGTGGTAATCATTTTTCAATGCAAGATTCTCGTGCTGTAGTGAAAACACTGTTTAGTTTCTTCAGTTTGCGAGGTTCGTTTATTGTACTGGAAGAAATATGTTTCTTCAGTAATAAAATATAATAACTTTCAGTAACACCTAAATATATATCATTAACGCCATAAATGAATTAACACGAAGAATGAACATGCTACTATTTATTCAGTCTAAAATAATAACTTCCAACATGATAGATATGTACTGGCAATGAACTCTTTATTTTGAGAATTAGTAATTATTATTATTAAAAAAATTAAAACATTGTTTAAAAGGAAAATCTGAAAGGATGAAAAGATTTTATATGTATATGATATACCTTCAATTTCGTAGCAAACGAAACGTTCAATTCTTCATTCCATTCAGCTTGCATTAAATCACAACTGCAAAAAACAAAAAAATAATTTTAAAGAAAGACAAATTACAAATACAAAAAATAGAAAAACCACATTTAAATAATAATAAAATTTTAATAAATAAATTAAAAGAATAGTTACATTCTGGCTGCTCTCTTCTGAGCCAATAGAGTCTTCTGATTATCAAGAGCACAATCAACGGCTTCCTTTTCAGCTTTAGTATTTTCACACTCAGAAAATTTAAGACCAATATTTAACTGAGGTACCTGCTCCTCCGGCTTTCGGAGTCGCACTAGCTCTTCTCCACTAAAATTTCAACAGACAAGAGGAATTTAATAATATTGTTGTTAGGACTGGGCGATGCAAAATTTTTTATATTGTTACATAATTACATATCTGTTAAACATCGCGACATATGTCCGAAAATTATCAACCAAAAATCTTTAAATCAATAAAACATAAATAAAAGAAATAAATTTATAACAAACGAGAAAGTTATATTCCTAAAAAATTGCTTTTATAACATCAATAGCATTGCTTAATTTTTTTCAATTAATATAATAAAAATGGATTGACTTGAGATTTGTCTTAAAGAAAAAACAAACAAAAGCTTTATATAAATTTTTTTAAGAACTAAAAACAAATCAAGATTGATTAGTCTAAAAATAATAATAAAACTGTAACACAATATTTTACTTACATAGATTAAAAATAAATAAAAAAATGTTAAAAAAAAATAGAAATGTTGACTTAAGTAAAAAAATTTTTAAATTTGAGAAGAAAAAGGTGCTTTTAAAAAATCATTAGATCTTTTATTTATTTACTAAAAATAATAAGTTGTATTGACTAATGGTCGAATTCCAATCCTTAATAAATGTAAATATAAATGTAAGTTTTGTTTGTTTAATATTATTTTCCTTTTTAAAAATAAAATCTACTAAAGATTTATAGGTTTAAAAATAATACTGACTACCTAACAAATTATTAAATGAAAACATATTGAAAAAGTTTTAAGAAAAATTAAAAAAAGGAAAAAAATGCTAAATTTAATAGCACTACTATTAAATTAAAAATAAAGCGTCAAAATGTTATATAACTTTTTATTTAATTTTTAAAAAATGTCGTTCTCAAAATAACTCAAAAATAAAAACTAATTAAATAAATGTAGGCTTTCTTTACAATTAAAAACACCTGAAGATTGCTGAAGAACTGATTATTGGTTTGACTTTTCATAACAAAATATAAAATACTGAGATACAAAATACCCCCAATAAATTCCAGTGCTAAAAAGTAAAAAAGTGATTTAAGAAAAACAATGAGGAATCTTTTTTTTATTATTATTCATAATTTCTTTCCATTAATAGACTAAGTTCAAAATGAAAATTTGAGATAACAGCAATTACACAGCGAGCTCAAAGTATTGGTCTACTAAAAAAATTGACAAAAGACATTAAATCCCAACATCAAAAAAAAAAGTGGCAAAAGACAATTTCTGCACAGTTGCAGAAATCTCACTAATAATAATTTACAAGTAACATTAAATTCTGACAAAATAAAATGCATAACTACCACTAAAATAACAAAAGTCCCACTGAAAATAATCTTCAAGAAACGTAAAATTACAAAGAAAAAAAAATGCATAAATAAACTATGTATTGAATTCTATATTTCAACAATTATCCTCACACAAAAATGTGACTTCTGATTCAATTTGCTCATCATCATTCAAATCATGAATTTAATACAGTCTTCATAGAATCAATCCTAATTCTGACGAAATCAATATTTTGCAGCAAAAGACAAAATTAAAATCGTCTTCGCCAACAACAGAGTTAGCGTGGGCAAGGATCCTCACATTGTTAAATCACGAACGTCTTATATCAGCGACTTAAATCGGATCCTAAATGAAAGGTCACTATATCGGCCCACCAATATATTAAGTCGATATTCCGTGATACATTGATTCACCGTTTAGTCCTAATTGTTATTAATAGAATTGTATAATACACAAAAAAGTTAGCTTCATAACGAAAGCTCAAAATCTTTTCACGATTTTTTTTAAAAATCTCTTTCTAAACATAATGTTGATTTCATGAACATAACAATGTTGAAAGAAAACTAACAATACAACTAATGCAAGACCACTAGAAAATTGATTATGACTAATGTTGAAAAAAAAAATCTCAATATAACTGCTAGGCATAAAATCATTTATCATTCACAGTTGGAAATTGCCTAAATAAATTAGTTAAAAATATCAAACTTTTCCAATGAACATTAAACATCATATTATACAGAAATTCATTAATAGCAGTAATCCTAACCAAAATTCTATAAGAGCAAGTGAAATATAATATACTTAAAAAAATGTCAAACTCAATAGCTTAAATTACATACCCACATCAAGCTTAATAGCACTGTTCTTGTAACTACAACTGCTGTATGCTGTTATAAAATGGCGGATAAGTATAGAAGTCTAAAAATTTTCATATTTTTTCAGGCTTTCTGCAACAAACTTCCCTTGCACTAATTTTTTCCTTTAAGATACTTTTAATTATAAAAATTACTAATTTAAAGCAACAGAAGTGCTCTGTTTACGGAAAAAAGTATACAAATGTTTAATTATAAAAGTAATATTTTTTAATTCTAATACTATATGCAATATTCTCGCATTTTGTAGGCGGAAAAATGCACTAAATATTTCCTCTTTCGAATTTGGTAAATCATTACACAATTTAAAATTTTAAAAAAAAGTTAAACGGTAGTAAATTAAATGTCATACATAAATTAAAAATCATGAAATCCTAGCAGCAACTTCTAAAAAAAAGATTTTACCAATCATGCAAATAGGACTCTTTAAAGAAAAAAGAAAGAAAGAACATTATTTCTAGGGCAAACCTATCTTTTAAACTTTAACAATTTCTGAATTTTTTATTTTAGATTATTTTGAAATTTTAGCTGAAGCCAGTCATTACAGTTTTTTTAAAATCTCAAATGAGAAGAGAAAAATTATGATTACCGTATATTCCGGCGTATAACACGCACTTTTAATACAAAAAATAACATTGGAATCTACGGGCGCGCAGTATACGCCGAATATAAAAAATTATGGATTAAAAAAAATTCAAATATAGAAAAATACTTTTATTTTAAAAAATTATGAATGCTTAAAGTTTTATAATTTTTGTCAAAGAGAATTAATTTTATTTTTTAAACATTAGATTTTGTCATTTACCAAATGATTAAATTTCAGGAAAAATATTTTAATTTTTTGTTTTGGTTAAATTTTTCATTCAAGTGCTTACAGGTAAAAAGTATACCTAATAAAAACAAATGAAAACATCATGTACATACAATAGAACACAAAAATCATAGTCAAATAACATACCTTTATCTATATACTTCATTGATTTTCGTTATTACATAAATAGTTCATTATATTCGTTTTCCGCTATCAATTACAATTATTAAAATTTTTTTGTATTATAATTACAATTTTTTTTGTATTATCTGTAAGGTGGAACCTAAACATGTCCCACTCTAAAAGGCTTTGTGGTTTTCTAACGCAACCAGGACGGATTTGCCAGATGTTTTTTACCCACAATTTAACACCATTTTTGTCCAACCAGAATCACATTATTGCTCTTTCAATTCTACCCTTACATACATGTCAAATTCAGTTCTTTTATTTTTGCAAAAGATAGGGAAAAATACTTTTTATTTACGATCTTGAAAGACGAGATATTGCACATGTGCAATCCAAATTTTCGTGTGCGTTATACGAAGAGTATATTTTAAAATTTAAAAAAAGTAATTAGAAATTACGGGTGCGTGTTATGCGCCGGAATATACGGTACTTCTTTCCTCTTTGATGCGCAAGAGATCACATCTTTGGAGAAAGAAAAAAAACATTTTTTTGAAGAATTATGTAAAAAGAAAAACCAAAAATTTTTCTTTCCCAAATGAAAAATCTCTGCATCGTTGTCTGCTAATGTCGCTGTGTTGCCGCAATTCTGCCAAGGAGCCACATTGTTAACACAAAGAGTATGAGCAAGAATCAGAACCCATTATTTAAAAAAAAAAAAAAAAAATGTAGCAGTTAATCAGGGTAAACTGCAAGTTATACTTTCTTTCGGTTAGTCACATTCTATGATATCTTCCTTTTTAATTACTGACATGGGGCCATACCATAGCCCAATTGTCAACACAATTTGGCATCAGTATCAACAAAATCAGATATTGCCAAGAACAGAAGGGAACAAACAGAAAGTGATTTTGATTCAAAACCACTCTCTGAAAAACAAGAAGCAAATTTCCCACCTTAATTAATTAAATACCTCTACATACAAATAGATTAAACTTTGAACTATAGGTAGAAAAAAACAAAAACACTTGTTATCAATCGAGCAATGACATTATAACAGTAGTCTAACAATAAAATAAATTCGATAAAAATAAAACCCCTTATTTTTAAATACAACAATAAAATAGGAGATATTTCAGTGTCGCGATCTGTTGTGCTAACTAAAATAAATAAGGTGCAATTAAATAAAACTTGCAATTTAAAAAAAACAACAACCTATAAATGTTTGGTTACGGGTTATACATTTTGGTGGTGTTTTTTAACTTTCTCACGGGCCGCAGCTCAGAAGTTGCCAAAACTTGGCAATTATACTGCCACACAGATCACAATATGGTAATTTCCCCATACTACAAGCATTAATGAGCCAAATTAATTTAAAACTTGAAAAAAGTTTAAAAAAAATTTAGATGTTTGCTGGGGGTGGTTACCAGTTATACCCTTCAAGTTGATTCCTTTACAGTAACGTTTCTTCTAATTTCGTGCCGGCCGCTATCAGAAAGTTGCCAAAACTTGGCGACAGCCACAGATCACAATACAGAAATCTCCCTTTGATTGATTTAAGTCATGATAATATACTTAAAAGACACTAATTTTTTTAGATAAATAAAAGGTAATTTATACAACAAATATTGATTACAATGAAATTAGACTAACCAACTGGCAAAGGTTTTCCCTACAACTAACAAATTTCTATAATATTTACAACAAATTTTTCTTTACACAATACATGTCGTTAGTAATAATACAAAGCTTAAATCTGGTAAATTTGATCATTCGGCAGAATTAAATTAAAAATTCAGTGATCGTGCAAATATACTGATACTATAAATAACAAAACGTACAAATATTATTTATAATAACACGAAAATATGAGCACTGATCATGAAAAATAGAGGGTAATTGTTAAAACTCAAAAAATTTTCATTTGTGCATACAAGAATCACAAATTCGGAACAGGACATGTATAATGACGCTGGACTGCAACTATATCACACATTTTAAAAAGAGATATAATCAAAGTATAAAAAATAAATAGTTGTATTTATATACAGGATAAATAACATGCATTTACCTGAGATAATCTGTAGTCGGTTGCATATTTACAACTTCACTAATTTCTGCAGTATCCATGATTAAAGTATGAGTAACCAAATATTTTTCTTATTATTTTTATAATCACATCACGTCCAAACCATTACATAACATTTGTTAGTCAGATGCAACTCTCAATTTATTTGAACTAACAAAATTGTAATTGAAATTCAGTGAAAACAAACCCTCGTGAGACGTCACAGAATGGCGGAAATTAAGTGTTGCCAACTTATAAGAATACAAATAAAATAAAAACACAATAAAACATTTTTCTAGATGTCGCTAGCAGAACATCACGTGACATTATCATAAATCCTACGATTACTTACAGTTGTCCTTGGACCCCTAAGGCTGCGAGTTCAGGGGTCCACTGTACAACATTAGAGTGATCGTACAGAATACATTGAAGTTAAGCATTGCTAGCAACGGTTGGAAGGTGGGTGGGTGACCACTTTGATCAGCCTGTGTAAGAACCGAGGCGGAGCAGTATCGGTCCTGGTTAAACTGTTCGACCATAAAGAGCTCAGCTCTTAAGGCCGGGGAGCCACTACCACTTTTGAGCAGTAAAATTGTGATGGCATGTAGTCGGATTATCGTCCGGGATGTTTCCCAGATCGTCTAATAGCTTTTTGTGCAGCTTTAGTAAGACGTAAGAAAAGTACATAACTTATCAGGGATAACTGCTCTATTTTCAAACTATATTCGTTATGAACAAGATATTTTTAAGAAATAAATCACTACATCATTTAATATTTGAATGGGTAATACTTGTTGCGGAATTAAATTGATTGATTAAATCCTATTGAAAACCGATTAATCTATCTCTACTGCGATCTTAACAATAAAAATACATATGAGTTTAACATGATTAGCTTATATACGAATCTAGAAAATAAGTATTTTTTAATTATGAAGTAATCAGAATTAAAAATAAAATGGCAAATATTTATCAAAAATTTTTCGCAATCGAACCTCCAGGTTTGCTTTTTACTAAAATACTCCGTCAAATATTTTTATAATTAACGAATTAATATTTTTTAAATTTAAAATTTTTTTTAGTTATTTGTATATTTATGGCGCAACTAATTATAATTCGGTAGTACATTATGCTAGCTTAACATGTACAATGTTTGTACATGCAATTTAATAAAAGACTCTTAAAATACAATGAATAATATCGACAATTTTTATGTTAGAACCACAGCTTAGGGGATATAGCGTTCGCCTTCTAATGGTGTGAACCGGGTTCGAATCCCTGGTTGATATGGACTCTACTCTAGTCTCACGCCGACCACAGTGCTAACATAAAATATCCACAGTGGTAGACGGATCCGTTTTGACTCCTTTTGCCATCAGGCTAACCGTGGGAGGTTTTCATCTCTATATAACGCAAATGCTGGTTAGTTTCATAAAAAATCTTCCACGAAGGCAAGTTTCTCTCAATACTTGGTCCAGGGGTTCCCTTGTCTTCTGGATTGGGTACATAGTTTTGCTGGAAATTTAGTATTTAAAGGTTTATATTTTCAAGTTGTTGCAAGCTTTCAATCGCAAAAAACATTGCAGAACATTTTATATGCACTCGGCAGATGTTTCTTTTTCATACATATAAACCATTATAAATTTTTTAAAGAATTTCAACCGGGCCCTGGGCAGGATTCATACTGAAAAAGAAAATTTTTTACCTGACATTTTTCAGGTAGATTTAAGTGAAATTCCAAATTTTATTTAAATTAATAAAATTTAATAAAAATGTAAATTAAAATTGCAGCTCTAAAAAAAACATTAATAAACTATTTTAATTTAAAAAAAAATCAGATGATTTAAATAATGTCAATTCTGATCAGAAATAATTAAAAAAAACATTTTTAACACCAATAATTAAACCATCCTAAAAAGAAACTAATGAATAGATAAACAATCCATATTCAGATGGGTAGTCAAATTTTTTAACAAAAAATAAATACCTTTTAAGCACTTAAAAAATAAAAAAAATCATAATTAGGATATGCGCATTAATAAAAAATTTTTCTTCCTATTCTTGAAAGTTCTTCATATATATATTAACAAAATGCAAAATGATTGCCAAAGATTTTACATGATCAAGACTAGTTTCTGACAGAAAAAAAAACTTTTTTTTCATGACTATATTCCTTCCTTCCTAAATGGCACTACAGCCCCGCGTGGGCCCTGGCCTCCTCAATCAACTTCCTCCAGGCCTGCCTCTGCCTGGCAGTTGTCTTCATGACTATATTAGCCATTATAAAAACGATTTATGGAAAATTTTAAATGTATTCAATATTGAGTGGCCCAATCTATATTTTAAATTAATAACTACTTTAGTAAATGATATAAATAAATAATTTTAATTCAAACTTATAATTAGTTTAGCCATTATTATAAAAAAGTTAGTGAGAGATTTAAATAAAAGTTACTTATAAAAACATATTTAAAAAAAAAAATTTACAAGATTAATATTATTGGCCATACTGAATTTATGAAGATGATTATTTATATGTTAAGAATTAAGCAAACTTAAAAAAAATTAATATTATTTATGTGAATAGCCCCTATTAAATTTTTTTACCTGGTTGAATATTTTTTTAAGGAAATGATAAAAAAAAATCTCTATTTTAAAATTTAAATAATGAGCATTGCAGCTAAAGATTTTTGTCAGAAATAAATTATTGTATGGTTACTACATTATGTAATACTTAACAAATCTGTTATTAATGAATTTTTTGTTTCAATTACTTTTAAATCAAATGAGATGAATTAAAACTTTTTGCCATGACAAATCTGAATAATGTAAGATTTCTTGCTGCATTTAAAATAGAGAAAGCCCCTCACTTCATACTTAAAATTTTGCCTCTAAATATTATTTAAGTTTTTAATAAAACAACTTAAAGAGTACTGAAAATTTTATAAGTGATAATACAATAAGTATATAATAATAATAAGTGCAATAAAAGCTTAAAATTTTTTGTGCAAATAATGGACAGTCCCTCAGGTATAAAATACCACGATTAAAAAATCTCAATTAATTCTTATTTTCATGAAATTAAATGAATTTTGAGGTGATGAACCTTTATGATTGCTGACTGCTCTGGAACAAACATGAAAATATTAGTTAATGATCCCAAGTAAAGTTCAAGGATTATGGTACTGATCTATCAGAGTATGCAGCCAAATTGCTCAATAAAAAAATAAGCACCTTTTACGCACTAAAAAAATATTTTATATCACTCGGTCTATGCACATGTGTATTTCATTAAACAAGTAAAATGATTGCCGCTTTCTACGGACCGACGGTACGTCAAAATGGATTGTGGTTTAATGGATTCTGAAAATGTTGAAATCAATGTGAAAACTACGGTTTTTGCAAGATTTGTTGCAAAAATCGACATGATAAAAAAAAATTCTCATTTCGCAAAAGGAAAAATTAAGCATTTATTAAAAACACCCAATGAAAAAAGCACCCTTTTAAGAACAAAAATAAGCACTTTTTAACAATGCCATGCCCCCTAGTATTTAATTAAAATTAATCTTTATTTACTATGTGAAATAGATTAAATAACTAAAAAACGGCGCTTTTTATCAACTGACAAGCAAAAAATAAATAAGTGAAATCTATGTAATGAACTGATGAACATTTTTAAAAATAAAAGGGAGGAAAAAAAAAAAACAAAGAGAAAAGATGTTAAGATTTTTTATTTAATATAAATAAGATGAATAAATAGATAGAAAATATAAATTACGACAGCAAAACTGTGAAATTAATTTTAAAAAAAAACTTATAGTAAGTGAAACAGGGTGGCCACTCGAATCAGATTTCAAATTTCCCTGATTTTTCCAGATAAAAATCTTAAAATTTCCAGGTTTTTGTTTCTTTTTCTTATAAAGTATAGGATGTGTACAAGAAAAGTGTCTATATTATAAAATATTTTATCCAAAATGTTACTTTTTTAACATATCATACTTGAAAAAAATAATTTATTTTGACAATTTTCAAGATTTTTTATTTATTTTTTAATGTTTTGATACAAAATTTTGAATCAAAAATCATATATTGATCAACAAAGGAGCCTTTTTTTAAAATTAAAATATGTTATAAGAGGTTAAAATGAAAGAGAAAAAATTCCCATTAATGCAACAATTGTAACAATTTGTCGACAAACATTGCTGTTAGCGATTGTAAAAAAATGTGTGATTCGTTGGTTTGCTCAGAAAAAATAATTCTCAGATTTCTTTGAATGGGAATACAAAAGCTTTCAGAAAAAGAGTGCAATATAAAATCTATTATTATAAAATTTAACCAACTAATTTTTGGAGAATTTTATAAAGTTAAAAATACAAAAACATTTTGTCAAAATCGAGAAAAAAAATAACCACCAAAGCATCGGAACAAACTTGAGCCATAAATGAATTCAGCCCAAGGACAGACTTAAAAAAAACAGAAGTTAATATCCTAATCCCCTTTTCCATCTCCACCAGAATCTTTCCTAAATTACACAGTCCCATAGCGGTCAAAGGTTTCTGCATTCGTTTAGCAAACCGTTGGAGAATTTTATGTGGTATTCTAGTTTGACAGAGCTGTAATGGAGCAAATTTTGATGCAGACAAAGTATTGTTAAGTTAATGATATTTCAACTGTTTAGCGATACATTTCCGTCTAAAAAAGTGGGTATAATGGATGAAATAATTTAAATTAAGAAAATTAGTAAATAATTTAAATTAGTGAAATTAAAAAAATTATCAAAGAAAAAATTTCCAGCTTTTCTTTAAAATTCCCTGATTTTTCCAGATTTTTATCCAAATTTCCCTGATATTTCCAGGTTTTTTCCAGTATAAAAAAATTCCCTGATAATTCCAGGTTTTCAAGGTTTTCCAGGTGGGTGGCCACCCTGTGAAATAGTTTAGTATAGCTGAAATATCATGGCTAAATATCTCATAGATTACGCTTTGAGTGGGCACCATTTTTTAAAAGACAAAAATAAGAAACAAAATTCCCTGTATTTTCCCTGTTTGCAAGAAAAAAATCAAAATTCCCTGCATTTTCCGTTATTTTAGGTGATTTTTAAATTCCCTGTATTCTCCAGGTTTTCCCTGTTCTCCATGTAGAGTGGCAACCCTGTTAAAACACAAAAATAAGAACTTATTGAGTATGAAAAAAAAATTATTGATAAGGAAAAAAAAATTCAAAATATGGTGGAATCAGAAATGTACTACTTGTAAAAAGAGAAAGCTACAATATGCTTAATATAAAGTTTTAAAATAACTAACAACTAAATTCTCTCAAGGCAGAAGTTTTAAGTTCTGAACTCGGACATCCAATTCACAACATTGCAGAAATGTTTAAGAATAACAGAATGTTCAGAATACACTTTATAACGGTCGGCTAGGGGAAAAAAAATAATCTAATTTTATTTTTTAAGTCCATAACATTGCAACGTTAGTAAGCAGTAAATTGTGCAAGCGCAAATTATGGTGGAAAATGGAGTGCCAAATTCCTTGACAATTCCCAGTTTTGGGGTGAAATTATGCCCCCCCTCGACCTTTTTTTAAAATTGATTCTAGCTTTCCCAGACATTTCCAGGAATGTAAAAACCCTGCCTGAAAAAAATAAGACTTAGAATAAAAATCCTTACTGCAGGAGAAATGATTTATTTTTTTCGATTACTTTTCTAGTTATAAAGATTATATATACTTTAACAGGAAGAAGTCTTTCATAAGAATCCTTCTTACAGGTCGAATATATTCTTTCGGACCATTACATATACTTTAACATGACAGAATATTCTAAAAATGGAAATCAATTGAGTATTCTTAAAAGAATAATATATTCTTTAGAAATACATGGGCTGAAGGTCACAATAAACAGATGGGCTTTCTTTTCACAATAAAAGGTTTCATATAACTATTACATTCTCAAGACAGAGTTGTAGCACTTTGCATTGTCATGCCACAGGTCCTTGGTTCTATCCTTGGGCCGAGCAAGGTTGATTCAGCCTTTCATCCCATCAGTGAATCGATAAAATGAATACTAAGCACGCATGGGAACTAAACACTGGGGGTTCTGAGTTGGCCTGGCATCCCAACCAGATCATCTGCTCTCGCACCCCAGAGCCCAAAAGTCAAGAAAACTGAGACAGGCACAGTTACCTAGCCACTGAGTTTAGTTTAGATTCTCGACATTAATATGCTTTGTATGCTAGAAACTTTCAACAAAATTTATACAAATTATGATAAAACTTGTTAAATGTTTTAATTGCATTGCCAAAAAAAAAATTATTATTTGAAAATCTGCATAACATTCATAGAAAATGGTACGCTGTTTTGAACACACCCAAAAATCAGGAATATCAGGACAAAATATTTTGCATCATGATTCATAATAAGTTATAATATGCAAATATTTAACAGATCATAATGGATTCCTCTAAAATTTTTTAATTGGTTTCAAGTAGTTGAATGGATTGGTAGTAATCCATTCAAATTAGAAACTTTTAAAAGCAACATTTTAACTTTAGAAAACATTAAACTAAAAGTAACAATTATCTTTATGTAATTTCATAAACACATAATGCAGTCAGGCTTTTAATAAAATGCTGCATCCTATAAAACTGATCCTAGAAAGGGGCAGGTTCATTCTTTTGGAGTTACGTGAAAAACATGTAATATGGTAAAACTAAAAAGATTTTATTTCCATAAAAAAACTATATTTAAAATAAGTATATATGAACTTTATGGATGTCACGATTTACAGAGAGACAGTTATAAGCAAATAGAATTAAATAAATATTTAGTAATGTATTAAATATTAATATGACAATTAAAGAATACTAGAAAAAAAAAAGAACACAAAGGAAATAAAGAAAGAACTATACAATGTACCTTTTTATTCTAAAGTAACACAAATATAAGATTATTATATTTCTCTTACAATTATTAAATTAAAAAAAAAAGAAGAAAATGACAAGGAAATTCATGAGAATAATCCTAACAACTTGATTTATATTCTTCCTGGAAATCTTCCTTCAGCACGTTGTTCATCCCACTTTTCATGCTAGGGAGAAAAAAAATATGGAAAATAAGGATGCATGAATTTTATAACTCTTATTCAAAACATAAAATAGAAAAAAAAAAAATGTATTGTTTTATCCAAAACTTTAGAGGGTCCACTTTAACAAATGCAGTTAAATTTTCTTAAATCAAAACATCACTTAAATATTTTAATATTAAAGTAGTAATTATTGATTAATTTTAAAATAAATGTTAGGAAATTCAGGGTGACCGCAAACATAATAAAAAATGTTCTCTGATTTTCTAGATCAATTTTATCAATTTCCCAAATTTTGCAACTGGGAGTACAAGCTTTATTATTAATTTTTTAGTTATGTGTTACTCTTATACTTAAAATACATTACAATATACTTGCTACTGTTTAAATTACAGTATTTTGTCGGGTATGCATTTATTAGGTTTAAAAGGATGCTTTCCTAATCAATGTTTATTTCTTTCTAAAAGATACAATAAAGTTATGAATCATGCTATTTTTGTGCTAAAACATGAGGTACTCACAATTACCTTGATTTTTTAGACTTTTCTCCAAACAAGTTATGCAATAGAAATAGTTGCACAACACATTTGATTTACAATCAGCATTATTAGCAATTATTTTAGCAGTGTTTTAAGTTTATTTTAAAGTTAAACAGGGTAGAGTCAGAATAAATTAAACATTTATTATTTGTGAGCAAATATTTAATTTCTCACCCATACACTCATGATTTAGATACAGCACGTAATGTCCTTTTCCACCTCTACTGTACTGTTTAAAGTAATAATAAATAAAATTTGAAATTCTTCAAGTCCAGTTCCCGAAAAATCTTTTGAGAATTAGTTTTGGTTTTTCCAAATTCAAAGCCGACAGCTATTTTATTGGAAAAAAAAAAACTCACCAGTTTTTAATATGTTATGTAATGGCTTTTTATGAGTAACTATAGAAACTTACCCAAGCATTAGGACAAAGGATTTTATAAACTCTCTTGAAATATTGACAAGGTTCATAATCTTCTCCTTTCTTTTTTAGACAGCGATGGTAATCAAGATAGTTTTGCCAGCAATTTCTAAAAGTTGCAGAAATATTAGGATATCAAAGAATAATTAATAAATAGACTAATTTTTGCTTACAGTAATGATAAAAATTAAAGCTGTAGAGGTGTAATAAAGAATTTTGCAGTTAAAATGTACGTAGGAAAAAAAAAACTTGAACAGTCCAAGCAGCAAAGACAGAAAAGTATAAGATTGAACTTCGCATGCATTTTCTGCTGGCAATAAAAAATCTCATTTAACTAGATAAATTTCTCAGTAAAAAATGCATTCAAAAACCTTAAAATCTTAGATTTTTATTCTACAAAATATGTATCATAACTAAAGAGATATAAAAAGATCATAACTAAAGAGAGAGTGGGTGGGGGAAAAGGGAAAAAAGAACCCAAGTACCACGGTTTTGAAATTTTTTTTCTTCTTCTTTCGCTGTTTTTTATAAAAAAATAAAATAAAGTACATATAAAAAAATTTGGATTTCTAAAAAAGTTAAACTAAGTTTATTTTTCAATCACACAACTAAGAACTTTCAACTTTTTACAGACATAAAATTTGCAATTTAAATATACAGTAATAAAAGAAAAAAATTTAAAAATGCACTTAAAAATGCTAAATATAAATAAAACGTTACAGCAAAACTTTAAAAGAAGAAAAAATATTTCTTTAAAATTAGCATGTAATAAAATTGTTTAAACTTCCCATTTTAAAATAAACCTTCTGGTAAAATGAATTATTATTTTAATTTATGAAAATACATACAAATTTATTGGTAAAAAAAATAAAATAAGTAAATTAAAAGGAATATTAGAAAAGATATTTTCCGAATGTCTTCCAAAAACAGAATGAAAGATGTTTATTCATACTTTCATAATATTGATTTAAGTAAAAAAATAATCGAAAATTACAGATACTGTAATATATTTGAACATCTTACTTTTCCTAGCATAAATTTCATAAATAATGTAATAAAATTACTAGAATATATCTTTGTTAAGTCAGAAACTATCTTTTTTAAATATTCATAAAATTTTTTATCTCACAAATGTAGGTCAATCACTTAAAATAGGAAATGGAAGTCCTAATCATTTGGTAGTTGTGTAGAATAAAAGTGTAATTTTTTCTTCATTTGAAGAGCAGCACTGATAACAAACACTGTGATAATAACAAACGTAAATAACAGTTCTAATGCAACTGAATAGCTATACTACACTCCAGAAATATGCTAATAGACACAGGTATTTTACATAAATAAGAAATAGGTTTAAGTCTTTCTAAATTTTACGCAAAAATGATAACTAGTTACAAATTATAATTTTTTCATTATTATTAAATCAGTGATCTTTTCTAAAAAAATACAAAGTGATTAAAATCATGATTTTAACAGTGATTTAAATTAAGCTGATCCTGTGACAAACTCTGCTCAAGACAGACCTCATAAAATTGTCATAATATCGAACAAAACTATTGTAATTGATTCTTATTTTAGATATTGCAATTTTGAGACTTAGTATGAATTTTATGTAAAACAAAAACTAAGAGAATAAAATGTCAAACTGGATCATTATTTTTTTCTTAAAAAATATTTATTCATTATAGAATTGGTATTTAAATAAATGCTAGAATGACAAGTATTAATCTTTTATAACACTTTTAAATTCTTTCAACTAATATACATTTCTGTGAATACAACTATATTTTAATTGATTTATTTTATTATAAAGCCAATCCAAATATTAATTTATCTTGAATAACCTTATTTTTAATGATAGTCTTTTCAACATTAGATGCAAATTTAATTAACCAATTATATTAATTTTAAATTAAAATAATTCAGTGCCAATACACAATAGATTTAGAGATGCATCTTTAAAAAAAAAATAATGTTTAGCAAGAAAAGATATGCATATGGTTAATGCATGATAAGGAATTTTTGAAATACATAAGGGATAAGTATTTGACAAATTTCGAAAACTGACTAAAAATTTTTAATCCATGTCAAAGAGTCAATTTCCACAATGTATGAACATTTTTTACTTAAAAAAATCATTTACATTCAAAAATGTTGACAACGGCCAAAACCTATTATTGTTTATGTTTTTTCAAACGAGTGCCGAGGATATTGATAACGAATCTGCTGTAGATTTTGGATGGATAAAGAAAAAAGGTGAAAAAAAAAATCAAAAAGTAAACAACAAAACAAAGCTTTATTAAAACTCTACAAGACTACAAAAGTGTAAAATTATTTTATTGCAGCCTTAGTCCAGTATCTCAATAAAATTTAAAGTTTAAAATGAATAATAAGTTATCAGAAAAGCACTTTAATAACTAAGTTTTCATATGTTGTTCATTTGTCAATTTATTCTGACAAATTTGACTTTTTTTTTTAAAATTAACAAATGACTAGAAAAAACTAGTAATTTAAAAAGTCCCTAATAAATAATATTTAGTACAGGATAAATATAGGACATTTTTTTCTAGAATATATAGAAAATGCTAATGGCTGCTGATTTATTTTAACATTATCTCTTAACTAAGTAACAAAAGATCAAATATTGTGAAAAAGATATTAACATCAACTTTAAACCAGTTGGCTTTCATTTATTAAAATATGAGACAGGTTGATGATTTTGCATTTAAATTTTAAAGGAAGCAAATTCATTTATTCCCAAATGATTAGAAAATTTTTTAATGTATGGAGTTAACACACAAAATATTCCTAGTTTTAAAGATTAGTCCTCATTAAACATACAAAAAATAAAAAAGAACAATTTCTTGAAAAGTAATAATAAAAATACAATGGACAATAGACAATTGACAAAGTCATAATAATTTTACACTGCATAATTGACTTAAAAATACTAACTTAGTTTGATTTGTGTTGGGAAAACGAGGATCAAAAGGAGCGGTCCAAAACTTAGGTTTTTCCTGCTCAGATTGAGACATGACTGCAACTGACATTATACCTAAAAAGGGAAAAAATTATTAAATGAAAAAAATAATATTTCAAATTATTTTTACATATATGAACATTATACACATTGTAAATATTAATAAATTAAAAAAAAGAGGCAAATATATATAACATTGATTAACATTGTTACAATAAAAATAAGAATTTGTGACAAAATTGCTATTTATTAAAATATAAGTTAAAAACAAATTTTTTTTTTTCTACCCACCAATTTTTTAAATGCTAGCCATTTCGGAATTATTTTTTTCAGATTACCAATCTTATACTTTTGTATTTGCCTAAGTTGTTCCTTAATTTTGTTGCATAACTACCACTACGAAAATTAAACATCAATTCACTGGTATATAATACATGCTAACTTGATTCAATAACGAGGTACCTTTTGATAGATGATCCACATTGAACAGTGGACTTGCTACTTGTGACTCCTCACGCTGTTGCAATTCATTATCGTCTCGATCACAATGTCAGCCTGCAAACACCCCACTGCTAAAGACAACAGAGGAGCAGTGTTTTCACTACAGCGCGAGAATCTCGCATATATTTTTTTATTTTCTCGCATTAAAAAATGATAACAGCGAGGAATTCGTGTATTCTATAAATCAATTTCAAAATTCACGAATTTCTCGCAGTTTGGAAATAGCTTCGAATTACGCCATTTGGAATAAAATCAGTTTCACTTTTCTTCCTGGATCTTTCATTATTTTTAACATCTGCCTTGTTATCCAGCTTCCCTATTTACCAATATTGTTCAGAACCTTTTCGAACAGAACACAACCACGTAACCCCTTTCAGAACACATTTCTCTGAAACCACGTGTCCACCGTAGGTAAGATTTCTTCATGTAAGACGTTCAAATTTTTTATGTGCTAATGTAAGATGGACATCGTCATACCTTGTAAATGCAAAATCTTCTATGATGATGCACCAAAAATATTCAATGCTTCAAAAAATAGAAGATGTTAAAAATGAATTAAAATTAAAGAAATGATTTTTTTCCAAGTGTTTTTAGAAATCCCACTTAACTTTTTGAAATTTCACCCTGTTTATGAGAAAGGGTGAGAAATTTTCACTCAATTTTTTTCTACGATGAAAACACTGCACAGGAGTGACTATGATCATGAAGTTAATATACCGCTTACATTCAGCAAATCAAAAACCCAGTGACCTTAATCCAGCTCTCCCGGCCTTTCACAAGTACAGCAACTAGTGATATCAGTTCATCGAATTCTACCCCTGATAAAATTCTGGTGGGGGAGTATTGTGGCCTAACTACCACTACGAAAATTAAACACCAATTCAGTGGTATATAAGACATACTAATTTGATTCAATCACGAGGTACCTTTTGATAGATGAAGGTTGGCATGGTCGTTAACTCCGCCCCCCACAATTCTAACTGATACTATTAGGGATTTTTTCCCCTCTAAGTTTATCCGAAATTTCGTTTTTTTTCCTTTCTAACAAATAAGTCCAAAAAAAAAAAAAGAAAAAAAAAAGGTAAAGCATGGAAGAACTCTAAAAGAGAGAGAGAGTGCTGGTGAGGGTAGAATAAATGACTTGTAAACGAGATATTGCATAATAACAAAATTAAAATTTCAGATTGGCAGAACTTAGTGAAAATTTTGTCTAAATATAATTTATTGATCAGTGGAAGTCGTAAATAAGCTGAAGAATCATGTATTTCAGATATGCTTTTAAGGAGATGCCTAACAGAATTAAGTGTGTAATAAAAAATAATATAGACTTCATGGTTTGAAAAATGCCGTTTGTTTCATATTTACAACATTCCATGTAAGTTTTTAGCATGAATAATTATTTATAATCATCAGATAGATGCATCAAAAAGGTGCCACTCTAAAAAAATTTCAATACTGAATTTATTTTTTTGACCAATTAATACTGTATAGTGTTGTTTAGTAAACTTTTAGAAATTTACAGCTGACTTAGATATCTATCACTTTTAATATGTTAGACATCAAGTAAATTTAAACAATTCTTAAAATTATAATATTTTATTTAAAAAATTGCCAGAAATAAATTTTTACTTACGTAATATTCTATTAATTGATTTTATGAATAAATATAAATTGATCAATTATTTATTTACACAAAAAGAATTTCATTTAATATCAATAAGAATGTGCACACGATGTTTGCAAAAGTAGAAATATTTTCTTAGTTACTACAATTGGAATTTAAATTTAGGGAAACTTGGAAAACTTAGTTCGTTTCGGACAGTCTTTCTCTTTTTTCCCCGGGAAGGGTTTATTCTATTAACAAAACAATAATGAAGATAAACAAATTTGTGAAGGGTCCGATTAAAAGATAAATTATTTTGTGAAGGGTTCGTTTTTATAAAAAGATATTTTGTGACCCAAATTTCTTCTAAACAGACCCCTGGAAATAGCTAACAGCTTATTCTATAGATACACAATATTTACATGATAAAGACTATAATAATTCCATCAATTTGCTTCGTTGTTTACAAAATACGGATCCTTCGAAATTCTCCAACTGGGCAGTAGATGTTTGAAGTTCAATAAAGTACTAGTTGAAAATTTATTCAAACTGTCTAACACATAAATATGTATTTTTTTAAAAATTAATTTAAAAGAATACGATAAATACTTACACTCGTAGCTCCTATGCAGAAGATGAAGGGCATTGAGCTGTTGCCATAAAAATATTTAATTTGAGTCAATCAATAATGTTGCCATATTTATTTAAACTAATTCAAAATAAAAATTTTTACAGATACGAAATTTTTAATCTACTTTTATTTTAAATTTTTTACAGACAATTTAAACTTTTCATTCATTTTTGATGCATTTATATATTCTCTTAAAAGTTTCATTAAAGTGTACCTGTTTGGCACAAACTGAAACATGTACTGGTCCTATGTAGGCGCGGTTTCCGCAGCAGATGTAAAAAATTTGTACCAATCGGAGTACAGCTGTATCTGCACTCTCTGCATATTATTATCTTGTTTACAAACATCAGTGTGGTTTGGTGAGGTGTGAAGATTCTAATAATAAAATCTCATCATTATTTCTACTGCCTTTACAGTTGCATGCTGTAAAGGCGAAATTCGAGTCGATATTTAAAACTTTGTTAAATTAAAACGTTTTAAAGTAGGTTGTTTCAGGTCAAGGTGTTAGCTTACATCCTCGGAGAATATTCTAGAAACCTGCTTCGAGTATTGAGCAAATTTTCCATACGATCTTCTTTGCAATTAGATTTAAAATCTGATTGCAATTGATTCAATTCATTTTGAGTCTGTATAATTGTAAATAAAAATTTTACATTAACGATTTGCAACCAGATCCCGATTATTTAATCCGAATCCTGATTCTGCGAGTTCTTATTTTGTGAGAACTGTTGTTGTTATCCTCATGTCTTCAGTGGTTTCAGAATACAGAAAATACTTCGGTTTCGAACAACTTTTGCAAGTGTTACTGCTGAAGGTATATTCATTTATTTACTTCATCTGGCATGATTTTGAGTTTTAGTAGTTCCAAATTGTTTTTCATTTATAGTACTAATCAAGAAATATTTCTGCATCGGTACCTATTTGTGCTACTGCTGACTACATTCACCAAGGGTCAAAATATTTTAGTTCCTCAAATAATTTAAAAAAAATATTACTAAGAGCACTACTCTGGGAGCTTGTCCCTTTCCATGATGTATTTTTAGTTTCTCGTACGTCACTGCCCGATTGTTGCTAAATTTTGGTTACTATTTTGGCCGAAAAACGAATATAGAAATTTTCTCAAAAATAAGACTGTCAGTTTGATCAAAGTGAGCTTTCAAAATAGATCTCCAGCAAATAATTATAACATGTGTAAAATAAACACATGTTATTTTACACTTATGAAAGGATAGTTAAATGTATAACCATACTTTTAAAAGATCTTTCTCAAAAACTCCAAACCTCTACTCTTGAAATTTCTTGAAATTACTGACGGTTCTGCACTTAAAAGGTCCTATTTTAACCTGTAGTCTTCTCTGCATAGCAAAGCTTGTTTTTCCATGTCATTAGTTAAAGAAATATTGTATTGGAGAACAACATTTTTCCAATTTTACCATTTTGCTAAACGGCCAGGGATATATTAAATTTTAAATCTCAAAAATGGACCTTTCTTAAAAATCCTAACCTTAAGGAATTTAAACCTAATGAAAGAACTTCCTTAAAAATCTAAGGAAAAGACCTTTTTCAGAAATTAAAAGCCGTAATAAAATATTACTTTTACAAAATTTTAAAAGATCCTTTTTAACAATCATGACCTCAATGAAGAATCTTTTACAAAATTGCAAATCTCTTAAAAAGACTCATTACATAGTTCAAGACTATAATGGATCTATCTTTAAAAAAATTCTAAATTATTTAAACTGACTTTTTACAAAGCTTCTAACTGTGAGGATCATTTTATTATGTAGAGATTAAAATTGTATTTTAATTTCTATTATAATATCATTAATATTCTATTTTTTTCTGATAAAACTATAATTTATTTTCATTAATTAAAATGTACATTTTTGTAACAATTATTTTTAAAAAGACAGGAAAGGAAACCAGCAAAACTTATATAAATGAATATTATATGTTTATAATTGTGGGTATATTAGAAATATATTTTGTGGAAAAAGAATCTTAATTTTTGACACAACAAATTTTTTTTGCAAAATTTAAAATCTGAAACTTTAAAACATTATAAATTGACCCTTAATTTGAGCTGACACAAGATTTTGATGGCTCTTTGGAAAAATAATTTTGTTAGATTTTTCCTTAAGGTAATGAAATTAATCAAATGAATTTTTTTATTAATTACATTCTTAAGAATGAACAAGTTTAATTTTTTCCATAAAGGTAATTTCTTATTTTCAAATTTTGCATTAGAAAAACATTTTGAGTGAATGCTTTTGAGTTCAAGGATGATCTTGATTTCTATAAATAGAAATTTGGAGTCCTTTTCCTGCAAAAACCATGTATAGGCTACTAAATTAATCTATGTAATTTCCTGTGGTGGAATTTTTCTGAGCAATTTATGGCAATACTCTCTTGCAGTAATATCTTTCTGCATGTTACTTTTTATAATAACAAATATATATGTTATTAATTTAAAATAGCAAAAGTGCTGTGTTTAAAAACAAACTATATATAATTTTTTTTTAATAAAATTTTTTCTTCTTATATTATGGGTGATATTCTCGCATTTTGTTGGGAGGAAAAATGCACTAATTATTTCCTTCTTCGCATTTTGTAAATAATCATCATAATAAAAAACATAATTAAAAATCATGATATTCGTTGTAGTATTTGACGAAAAAAAGATAAAATCACCTGAATCGGACTCCTCGAAATGGTGTTACTCAAATGTATTTTCGCTTCGAGATTCGGTTGTTGTATTAAATAATATCGGTTTTTAAAAGGTATGGAGAAATCAATAATAATAACTGCTAAAAATTGCCTTAAAAAGTAAATACTCAAATACACAATTCAAATTTTCCATATTGTTTGAAATACATCGGGATATTTAAAAACCATGTGAAAATTAATATCAATAACCGCCAGAATAATAATATTAATATCAGTAATATTAATATCAGAATTATGAAAGGATATCAGTAATATTAATATCAGAATTAATTAATATCAATAACCGCCAGAAATACAATGATAAATCAAAACATTACATCGATTTACCGTACTACCGTACTATTGGCGTAAATTGAGCATGCCAAAAAGTTATGTTATTATCTAAATCCAAAAGCCAAAAAGTAAAAGTTATTATCTAAATGCACGATTTAAATTTTACGTATACAGTTCTGTAGAAAAGAAAACTAAAATTCTTTACCTTTCAAGAGAAAAATCTTTCTACAAGAACTCTGTAACTATCTACGACAATGTCACCGTGTCGCTGCAATTCTGTCGCAGGGATGTAATTAAAAGAAAAAACAAAGTTGTCAAATATTTTTATATATTAAAAAAAATTTTGGAAATGGTATTTTTATAATTTAGGAAAATTTTCTTTTGGGATATCAATGGTGTAGGGCATGATGTTCCACTTGCTCAACCTTTATGATAACTATAATTATCGTTTTGCCAATTGCAGTGCACCAAAAAAAAAATTATTCTGAATAACCTCTACCTTTTTGGATTCATCTTTGCACAGTAATTACTAATCTTAGTGATTTAAAAAGTTGGTCTAAATTGTAATGTCAATTAAACAGTGTTAATTATTAATTTAGTTATAGAATCAGACCCAAAAATTTCCTTTTTCCAAATATCTGTACCTTCTTTAACAAATCTTTTCTATCAAAATGTAGGAGAACTGCAATTTGAAAAACATTAGTCCTTTAGTTAAATCAGAACAACTGTCTGTAGTTTTAGTCGTAATATTAATTGAACTTTTTGCATATTTTGCTGTGACGTAGAAACTTTTTAATTGAATTCAAAATTATTTGCATACAGTTAAAAAATTTCTTTATCCAAAGATAATCCCATGTAAAAAATTATTTTAATAAATATTTTATTTTATAATTTACCAGAAATTTTTTAACTGTTAGATAATAAAAATTTTCAGCATTTTAATTTGTGTAACTTTGAATAGCAAAATATATAATTTAACTGAAATCAACCTTATTGTTCTGGAGAAATAAAAATTCAAAGATAACATTTTTTTCGAATATTTAAAACTGTTTGACTAATTTTGTTCTTTAAAACCATTCTTTTTAAATTTATATGAACAACCTCTAAATTATATTTTGTAAAGCTTAAATATTATGAACTGAAAATCCTTTAAAGAAGAATAGGGGTTATTAAATTTAGTATTTATCTATGTGCTTCTATTACTTTGTGTAATATCTACAAGGTTAAATAACAATTTTTATCACCAGTGTTAATTGTTATATTATTTCTAGCGCATCCTCCTCTTGGGCTATAGGATCGAAAGGTTACTATATTTGACCTTGGTTTGAGCAAAAATTTGAAGGTAAATGTTTGTTTTAGCTAGCATTATTAATTGCGAGTGATATTGCTATCAAAATTACTATTTAACGAAATTGTCCTTTTTAGTTTAATAATGAAACCTTTCAAAATATAAATTAAATACAGAAATTTTACAAATACAAAAATGCAATTACAAAAAAAAAAAAAAAAAAAAAAAAAAAAAAAAAAAAAAAAAAAAAAAAAAAAAAAAAAANCTACGTCACAGGCCGTGTTATTCCTACTAAATTTAACTAGTAAACAGCATTTACTGCGAACCTCATTACTAGCAACAAATAAACGAAGTGTGTTGTTACAAGTCGCTGCTCGCCAGGTTGGAATTGTATTAATCTAGTTCCTTTTGAAATAATTTATTTTGTTGTTTTATCTAAATTTATGTATTTAGTAAACGTATTTAAAACTCAGTTCATTAATTAAACTAAAAGGTAAATGTTATTCCTAGTAAAATTTTCGAACTGGAAGTAGTTGTGTTTTTTTCATATTATACCCAATTATTAAAGAACGTGCAGTAAACTCCCAGTGAAACTTGATTTTAATTAACCTGAGCTATAAGCTAGTAACCATTACTGTTGTTATGTTTTAAATAATTCAAAAGAAAAAACTATTGTTTAAATTGCAACATTATAAATTGCTAATCCTATTAAAAAAATCATTTTTTACATGTCCTTGCTAATAATGATAACGATACTTAATGGTATAATGTTCTGTTGAAAATTTTATAAAACAGTTTTAAAATGACTCTATCAGACACAGGCAAACGCTTTAGAACTATGTGAAATGTATTTAAATAATTAAAATTATTAATTTAAAAAGTATTATTTTGAAGTTTAGGTCTTAAATATATTTTAATCTTGGAAAAATTATAAAAAAGAGGACTTCTTTTATCCTGACCTGAAACAAATGTTTTTTTTAATACTAATTTGATTTATTATTTATTTTATTAAGTTTTTATTTTATGAGAATTTTAGTAATTTTAAGTGTATTTACCAGTTTTTAAAATTTATTTATCACAACTGTTATTTAAAGTTGAACTGGTTATTCTCCACCCATCAAACTTTCTAGATGTTAAGTTAGAAATCTATGACATTTAAACCGCTAAATTTTTTCAATCTCTACTGTCACTCAAATTTATTATAGCCTATAAATTTTAAAAAGTGAAGTATGAGACAAAGATATTTCACTATTGTTTTAATACAAGATATTTCACTTTTGTTGTTACATAATGTTTTTGTTCTTAAAATAACACTCTTAAATATTTAGTTACTTCTATTGAGGTTATGAATACTCATATTGTATTAAAACTATACTAAAAATTATTTAATACTGTTTATTGGCTTTAGAAATTTCTCTCGTTATGGATGATGATCAGTTTGATATTGAGCTACAGGCTCTACATCTGGTGGAAAATAATAATATTGATACAAATACAGTAAATGATAATTCAGTTTCTAATGATATTGAAAAATGTAAGTACACATTATTAATTTATTTATTGTTTATTGTGGAAACATATTTTGACTATAAAAGGCTTCAAATCATTGAATGTTGAAATCTCTCTCTTTTTTTAAATTTTTATTTTATTTTATTTTTATTTTTTTGTTTGAGTAAATTAAGATTATTTCCACTGTATGTCCTATATAGCCAGCTTTGTAAAATTGTTTGAAAAAAGTGATTTGTTCAAGTTGAAAATATTTTATTCTGTAAAAGCTTATCATTATTTTTTATCTTTTCATTTAAATCAGTGTTTAGGTTTTAAAAAATAAATTGTTGCATTATATATGAAAGCAGAAGAATTGGTGATAATAATTGTTTATTATAATTTTTAATGATAAAAAATGAATAAGAAAAAGAGGATTTTTTTTATATTTAATTCAGATGGATATTTTTTAGTTAGATTATAAAACACACATTAAATGTTTTAAAGTTGTTAAATCTTTTACTAAGTTGCAGCATAAATGACAAAAGAACTGATTTGAAAATATGAATTAAATTCAAAGAATTATATTATTTTAATTCAAAACAGAAAATGAAAAAATGTCTTACCAAATTATCTTATTAATAATATTTAAATTACAATAGGTGACATTTTCTATTTATACTGTTAAAAATTTTTTTTTGTTAATGCATTCTGACAGTAAAAACAAAATCAGTATGAGGGGAAAGGAAAAATATTTGTCATCTACCTATTTTTATCACCTATCTTTAAACTGCTTTAAAAAAAATTTCCATTTTTTATTTTATAATCAGTAAATCCTATAAGTTAGAATTTTTTTTTAAAAATTATCCTATTATTTTATAAAGATTTTATTTTTGTTCTAACTTTTAAAAATCAGTTTAAGAACAAGAACAGTGATCTTAATCATTATTTTTCTAAATTAATGATTAAAATCAATAAACTTTTTTTTAAAAAATGAAATTTACACTGCTATGCTAATAATTTTGCTATATTTAAATACTTGGGAGAAGTTATTTAAAAGCAACTTGTCCGTCCCAAGTTTAATCAAACAAAGCCTCTATCTATTTTATTTCAAATGTGACAATAGTATTTTTTAATACCAATATGAAGAAGATGTAATAAATTTAAGTATTTTGAATTTCATATCCACAAAAAATATGTATTGCTTAAACAAACAAATAAAAAAAATAGTCAAGTTGAAATGTATTAAATTAAAGCATTTAGTAGAAAATGAAATCTATAAAATCTGCTTTATTTTAATGATAATTTAATGTTAACCATTTGATGCAGATGGGGCACTGGTATCCCTATTATATATTATTTTTCTTACATTCTAATTACAAACAAAAATATATTTTGGCATTTTTTAATTATAAAAAACTGTTTAATAGTTACTAAAAGAAATCTGTTATATTATCAGAGTTATTTTAGTTAACCTGTACTAAATTATGAGAAAAGTATTTTGAAATTTTTTTTCTCCATTCATATTCAAAAATTTATCAATAACTTATTTTGTAAATTAAAGAAATTTCAATGATGAATAACTGTTTCCTTTAGATATAAATAACTGAAAATTTGAAAAATTATTGTTTAAAAGTGAGCTATGTTTAAAGGAATTTACCTTTAACGTAAAAAAAAACAAAAAAAACACTAGTGTTTCATGCTTCATTTCATAACCATAAATTATTAAAATGCTAAACGTATTATTTTTCACGTATTTTTATGTAAATTAATTGAAAAAAGTATGAAAATTATGTTTAATAAAAATTCTTCATCAAAGGGTTAAGTAATTAAACATTTTCCATGTTTTTTCATCCAATTATTTAGTTTGAAATTTTTAAGCTCTTTTCAAGTATACGTTTCTTTTTCTTTTTTTCTTGATTTAAGTTTTGACAGCATGAAACATTGCTTATTTCTGTCCCTCATCATATCTTCTAAAGTTAAACTTTTTTTATTTGCTTTAAACTTTGAATAAATCAATAAACAAGTAAAACCAAATTAAATGCATAACCATTTATTGCTATTAAAAACTGTGAGCAGTAAATGTTTGTGCAATGTTTCAAACTATTTATAATCCATTTAAAAATAGCCCTTTATAAGTTATTTCTTCCTCTGTTAAAAATGTATATAGGTGAGTATTTCATACAGTTCATGACATTTTCATTCCATTGTCATTTCAGTCCTTTCTTGATTCTTTTCTGTTATTTATACAATTTGTCTTTTTTGATATAGACATTCCATTTCTTACTTTTTATTGTGGCTATGTTTTAATGGTCTTAAATATAATTTTAGTTTATGAAATTATTTATTTATTAATAAATAAATTAATAATTAATTTATTTAATAATTATTTATTAATAATAATTATTAATTATATGGGAAGTTTTTCTAATTTTCTTACTTTTTACATTGTAACTGTCAAAATCTCTGGCACCTTTGTTATCACCATTCTTTACTTTTTTCCTCTCTTTAGCATTTATTTCAAACTTTTTTAAATATTACTTATCAATTTCTCATAATTAGTACAATTATTTATACGTTTAAGAAAGAAAATAAGGTTTCAGATTATAATTCTTGTTCAATTAGATTGTAATTCCTTTTCAATTTTTAAGAAATTTTTTATGGCTATTGAAAATTAAAGTTTAGACTTTACAAATGCACTGACATTATTTTGAAATCTATTTTTAAAGAAAAGCTTATAATTTAATTTTACAACACTTGAGAAGAGTTTTTGTAACAGAGCACATTAAAAATGCTTCATCAAGATTAACTTAATTTGTTAAAAAATTTTTAAAGCTCTTTTCAGTTGCTTGTTTATCAAGGTATTTTAGAAATATTAAGTAATAAAATTAGAAGTAAGAATCCTTTTATTTCATTATGTTTAGCCCATGATGTTCGTCATCACTGGAAAGTAGCAGCGAAGAAAGCGTTGCATTTAAGTGATCCTTGGGAAGAGTTTCATCTGGAGCAACTTGAAACAGAAGTTGTTTGTCGTTATCGTTTTAATGCTGTGCGACAGACTTGGTATAAAGATGAAGTTCTTGTCAAAATTGCCAAAGAGGTAATAATATTTATGTTACACATACATATTTTGACCATATCAAATGTGTGGCAATCTTTTTGTTACTTACTTTGTTTCTCCATATTTTTACTAAGGAAAAATTGATTTTTCAGCATTGTTCCATTTAGAAATTAAGATCATTTTCAACCCTTTCATAAAATGCAAATTCGTAAAAACTGTCTCTTCACAAGTATTAACTCTGAGATTTGTTAGCTTTGTATAATTTAATTGAAAATCTCCCTGTGTTGGTAATAATTCTAAATATTTTCAAAAATTTTTAAGAAAAAGATAAGAAAGAGTAAAATGTTTTGAAAAGAACTATTTTCAGACTAAAGTATTTTCTTAACCAAAAAAAAAAAGAAAAGAAAAAAAAACTTTTTAAATGTTATTTAAACTTTTTAAATGTTATTTTAAGGTATAGTATAACTTTGACGCATTGTGTTATTTACCAGCAGTTTTCTTCATTTCGTAAGCTATATAAATTGGTTGAATCAATTACGGTATCAACCTTTACCTTTTACGATTCAAGAATTTACTAAAAATTAGTATAAATCTATGGAATTGATCTCATAATTAATTTTTAGAATTGGTTTCGTGATTAAAATTTTATTGTTTTAAAAACCTCCTTAAGATTATGTAATGATTCAAAGTTTGTAATACAATGCTTAGGAGCGAAATTGCTTCACAGTATTTTATAATTACAAATCTTCTGCCACCATCCTCGTTAATAAACAATCCTCACTTTTTCAATTAGTATTGTTCTATTTTTTAAATGACAAATAATTTTTTTTTTGCAATTTTAATTTGCAAAAATAGGAATAAATATTGGTCTGTAATGTACAGTGCAGCTTTTAGCAGTTTTTGCTTTAATTATTTGTCTTATTTTGTTTTAATATATTAAATTGCCCTATTTTGTCCTATAGATTTTTCTGTTTCATTTTGTTATTTCAATTTAGTTAAACTTCTCCATGTTATGTTTAATTCTTATTTTTATTTTAATTCGCTATTAAATGTAAATAAAATGCTTGAATGAATTCTAGAATCTGTATATGGAATGAGCCTTTATTCATTTTTTTAGCCTTTCAGTCATGGTGCTATGAGATCTTGCTACAGGCTGTAAGTATAATTGCTCATAATTCACTTTAAAAATCTATGCTTTATATACATTATAAATAACTTATATAAGGTGTTTCAAAATTTGACTGATATATTCAAAGGAATGATAAAAGCCATCAAGAGGGTGATTTACTGTGGAACGTCAAATGGCAAACCATATTGAGAGGTGAAAATTGCAAAAAAAAAAAAAAATCTATGTAGGTTTCAACCTTACATTAGAAAATAATTGCAATAGTTTAGCACAATTTGTTCAAAGTGGCCGCTGCAGACATCATTCTACAGTTTATAACGACATAGAAACGATTAATATATGTACTTGAAGTCAACAGGTCCATCTTTGATGTCTACTGAAGCGGTGACAATTTATGTTATGAGATTATCTGGTGAGTCAGGCATCACATAAACTTGCTATTTGAGGTTACTCCATTGGAAGAAGTCACATGGATTACGATCTGATGAATGCAAAGGCCATGCAGTCAACTTACCTGGCTATGAAGGTTTGAAATTCAGGCCCTGGATGTGTATTATTGATTCTTACCTTGATTTGTGAACTAAGCATACATCTTCCTGATGCCGTTTATCACCCCTTTGAATTTGTTGGTGCATTTTTGCACTATCTTCTTTAGATAATAAATTTTTTTTGAATTATGTATAGTTCCAACCTCTCTGTGATGTTCCTTTACATGATGAATAAATAAATAGGGTTATAGGCTTAATAGGCTTTTTCTTCATACTATATCGTAGTTGACTACTTTGCATTATATTTGAGTAAAAATATCTTCAAAATTTAAGATGTTTATCAATAAGATTAAATTATTTTCTATGTTCAATAATTTCATTCATCATAAGTTTAAATGAGAAACCTTTTTTGTATCCATGATAACTAAATTGAGTACTAGATTTTTTTAATAAAAAAAAACTATGTTAAAATATTTTGCTTTAAATTTTTGTCTCAGAAAATTTTAAAGTGTTATTTGAACTATTATTGATATTGTTTCTAATTGTTACCTATAATCTTTGTGTTGTAGATCGTTAGCATTTAAAAATTTTAAATGAAATATTTACTTTTCATTGTTACTTAAAATAAAAAATTTTGGTTATAATTTTGTAGAAAAAAGTGGTCTACTTTTACTCATCGTCAGAATTGGCGCACTGCTTCAAACTATGTTGCCAAAGAATACATGGAGAACGTTGATCGAAATGTTTATTTTGAAGATGTGAAACTTCAGATTGATGCTAAACTTTGGGGTGAAGAGTATAATCGGCACAACCCACCAAAAAAAGTATGTAAAATAATTTGTGAAGTAAAATGTATCCATAAAATCATGGTACACTTTTTGTCCCATCAATTTTCAAATGTAGAAAAAGTGCATCATGACTTTGGAGAGCACTGTATTTCATAGTTCTTTATTAGTGAAATATGAAATTTATTAATTTTGCCTAATAAAGAACCATATGAAAATATTTTCACCATTTTCTGTCGAATAAATGTGCAATATCTCTCAATTTTTTTTTCTCCATAGGCTTACAATTTGTGGAAAAAAACAATTGGAGCTCCGTAAGCTCTTTAAGCATTAAATCTCTTTGGCAAAATTAAGTTATATATTTCCTATTATGCACAATTTTCTCATTAATAAAATTGTTAAAGCTGGAAAGCCACTAGCTTCAAGTTCAGAAAAAGCTGAACTAGCACTCTCTCAAACAAATCTTTCAAACAGAACTTTCTAGATTAAAGCTCTAGTTGATTTGGTATCTATTATTTTCTTCAGTTAAATAATGTTCAGTTAAATATTAAATAATGACTAAATATAGTTGTCTGTTTGTATGGTTAAAAATATCTTTCCTCTTCTAAATAGGTGGATATATTTCAAATGTCTGTGATAGAGTTTTTTCAAAGGCCTGGAAAACCTTTGTTTCATTTGGAGCATTACATTGAAGGTGATTACATCAAATATAATTCAAATTCTGGATTCATAAGCTGTGAAAAGATGAGACTAACTCCACAAGTATGTTAATCTTCTTCACTGTTTTTTTTTTTAAAAACATAGTGTGCTATATTTCATCAATTCTGCTTGCGAAATTTTCAGGTGACCTTGTATTTTGCATCAGTTGAAAGATACCACTATGTAAATTAAATAACAATTGTCAGCTCATTTATAAAATTTAAATATCAGTTACTAAAAACACATTTTAGTTTCTCCTATGTTTACATTTTGACAGCTGATGTGTGGATGTGATGGAAGTAACATTTTATTCCCAATGATAGAAATAAGCTGTGTAATGCATGTACCAGTTCTTAAAATAGAAACATTTTAAAATGCTTTTAAATAGATATATATTCTTGTAAATTTAAATCTCAAATGTATTTAAGTCTTGTAAATGTTTAATATAATTCTTCAATACAAGACAATAAGTGGAGAAAGAGGACTAGTGTTAAATTTTTAGCCCAGTGATAGAAATAAGCTCTGATGTGCACATACCAGTTCTTAAAATAGAAACATTATAAAATGCTTTTAAATAGATATATATTCTTGTAAATTTAAATCTCAAATGTATTTAAATCTTGTAAATATTTAATATAATTCTTCAATGCAGGACAATAAGTGCAGAAAGAGGACTAGTGTTAAATTTTTATTTATTTATCAGAATCGTTAATTATTTATCGTCTTGAATACAGCTTGTAATTTTTAAATTGAAATTTGAAAATTGACCTTCATTTTGAAATTTGTTTGCATGCTTTTTTAATAATCTTTTCTTTAAAAGAAAGTAATGTTTGTCATGGCAAGGGATTGGTAAGGATTGTCATGAAATTATTTCATCTATTGTTGCTTATAAAATGTAAGTAAAAGCGAAATGTTTTGTTTAAAAAAATAGTTTTGTGCTAAAAAACTTAACCTTTAGTTAAATTATTATTAAAATATCATAAATATTAATTTCCAATTAACATTTAAGTTATATTGTATGTAAGAAAAAGTGAATCAAAGACAAGTTACTACATTAGTATATTAAGTTTTTAATGTAGAGTAGAAACATTATATTTTATTAATTAAATTAAATTAGGTTTTATTTTATGAAGTTGTTTGACAAATCAACATTAATTCTTAGTTGAGTTTTTCGCGAATTTTTTTGCATCTGCTAAAACGGTTTTTATCAGTTTAAACAATTTTCTTGAATTTTTAAAAAAATCTAAAAATAAATGTAAAGAAATTACCTATCTAAAATTGCTAACTGTATTAAAAACAAGTTGCAACATTAGTATTTAGTTTTTAATGTTTATTGGGTAGAAAAATTATATTTTATTAAGTTAAATAAATAGGGTTTTATTTTACGAATTTGTATGACAAATCAACATTAATTCTTAGCTGAGTTTTTCAAGAATTTTTTTAGCATCTGCTAAAGCGGTTTTTATCAGTTTAAACAATGATTATTAAAAAAATTCCAAAAGCAAACATATAGAAATAAATTACTTATCTGAAATTGCTAACTGCATAACTTGACATGAAAAAAACTGCTTTACATTTTTGAGAAATATGTGTTAAAAGATTTGAAAGCTAACAAGCACAGTTTCTCACAATGTGCTAATGCAGTGTTTTCATATGCTATCTTTTTTTAAAGTTATAGTGCAATTGATTATTGTCTGTTACCAAAAGTTCATTAAGAATGAGAAATCATAGAGAAAACAAGATAACAGGAGGAGCCATATGTCCATGAATATTATAGAAAAACTCATACAATGCTTATTTAAAATGTTTAATTTAAAAAAGAAAAATTCTAATTCATATTTTATTTAAATTGTTTAATTAAAAATATTGTCTATTTTTCTGGTGTAAATTCTTGCTGTTTAATAATTGTTTTTTTTGTGTTCACAGGCATTTAGTCATTTTACATTTGAAAGATCTGGGCATGAGTTAATTGTTGTTGACATTCAGGGTGTTGGTGATTTGTATACAGATCCTCAGATTCATACTGCTTCTGGTATGGGATATGGAGATGGAAATTTGGGTAGTCGTGGCATGGCCCTATTTTTTCAAACCCATGTCTGCAATGCTATATGCCAAAGCTTAGGATTGTCTTCATTTGATATGGCTCCCTCTGAAGTAGTGAAGAATAAAAAATTGATTAACTTACAGGTATATTTTTTTCTCTTTAAAAATCATTATTTTTTTTTTTTTTTAAGAATGCATCCTCATTTATTTTTGTTGAAAAGGCATGAAATGTTTGATGGTTGTTTTTCTTTTCAACAGATTTGAAAAGTAAATATAGTTTGATTTAAATTAGCCATCATGTTTAAGTAATGTTGTGTTTCAAATTAATTTTTTAAAGCACATTATAATAATAGAAACTAGTGACACAACAATGTGTGTCTCAGATTTATTTTGGCTCTTTGGTAATACCGAAAACCATTTTTTTTTACCATTTATAAAATATGACTATATCTATGTGCACATAGATTTATGTTTAACAGGGGTGATTGTATTCCGGGTCTAGAAACTCGGAGCAAGAGGTGTGAATTTTTTTGCCAAATTTCGCATATCTTGCAGACTTTGGCAAATTTTCCCCGCAATCTAAAATTTAAAGGAAGAATTATGCTCTGCAATCTAAAACATTAGTTTTGAAACCTTCTCTAAATCGTGTTAAAAAGACATTTTCATACACATGACTCTTCCACAATTTTGATTTATTTATTTATTGGTTTGTTGCAGTTTCATCATTTTTAATATTTTAAACAACCTTGGAATCCACTAATATTGTAGTTCATATTTGATTACCTATGACCTGCGATTATTTCTAATGTAATTTATCTGCGATTTTAATATCAAACATCAATTTTTGTATTTTTCTGATTTAAAAGTTACTTATTATGAATTGTATTCACGTGATTAAAAAATCTTAAATCTCGATTCAGAATTACGTGATTTAAAAATATCACAGTTTGTATTTGCATATTTTGAAATCAATACCGATATTTGTATTCACGTAAATTTGAAATCCAATATCGTTATTCGTATTCAGGGGTTCTAAAAATCGTGCATCGTGATTTGCATTTACGTGATTCAGAAATCCAATGTTGAATTTTGTATTTTAGCATTCCTAAAATCCAGTACCACAATTCATATTCACTAGATTTTAAAATCCAATATCGCGATTCTTAGATTAGTTGATATAAGAGTGTCATATTCTTTATTGGTAGGTAATTTAATTATAAATCTTTGTTCAAAAAATTATATTAAATATGAATATTATATAAATCGATATCTTCTTATCAAGTTTTTGTAGTACATAAAATTTTAAGGATTTTTCACTTGGTGTCACAATGAAGAGCTTGATCCTAAAAATAGAAACAGAAATATAGAAATAGAATTTTATTTTCGTGAGGATTTGTTAATGTTCAGCTTTCTAGATATTTTTTTTGTGGTAATCGCAATTTAGTGAAATTGATCAACAGCAATGATGTAAGTGAACAGCAGCAATAATATAAGTGAACAACAGCAATAATGTAAGTGATCAACTGTAATAATGCTTAAAAAGTTCATGATTTAATGCATAACAAAAATATATGTCATAAAAAAGCAAGTTTTTTAGAGCTTCTAAAAAATAAAGTTAGGTTTTTGAACGCATGTTTTACTTCATAAATTGAATTGAGAATTAAATTTGAATTAGTGGCTAATAATAGTGTTAAGCATTTTATGTGCACTTCAAAAAAGTTACACTTTTATTTATTTATTTCTTGGTCCACAATAAGGAAAATTATTGCTGGTATAATAATTTTCTTATTGATGTATTTATTTTTGTTGATGTAAGAATATAATTAAAAGTTTTTAATTATGCTGTATTTGACAATTTATTTTAAAAATTAAAATTTTTAAGTGTTTCTGTACTATCAAATTTTTTTCCTGTTATTTCCATCTACATAATTAAACATAGCCACTGTAATTAGGATTAAAGAGATGTTCGCTGATTCTATTCCAAGGTATCTTATTTTCAAGCCATTAATAATAACTAAAAGTAACAGATTTGAATGGGAAAATTCATTGCTGCCATTAAGGGCTAGAGGACTCAAACAAATGGTATATTTCTGAAAGTTCAAATATATAGGCTGGACTTATGCATTTGAATAAATGTTTATCTTTAACAGCATTGCATCCTTCNATAATGCTCACTCTGGTTATTGTTATCTGGTTGCTCACTACGTGCTCTTGCGCGCCGAATCCAATCAATTAAAAATGAAAACTGTTGCCAGCGCGAGAAAAGAAATATCATCGGTTTTATTGATACATACATACATACGTACGTATTAGCGTTTTATATAATATAGATTTCTTGGTCCACAATAAGGAAAATTATTGCTGGTATAATAATTTTCTTATTTATGTATTTATTTTTGTTGATGTAAGAATATAATTAAAAGTTTTAATTTATGTTGTATTTGACAATTTATTTTAAAAATTAAAATTTTTAAGTGTTTCTGTACTATTAAATTTTTTTCCTGTTATTTCCATCTACATAATTAAACATAGCTTCTGTAATTAGGATTAAAGAGATGTTCACTGATTCCATTCCAAGGTATCTTATATTCAAGCTATTAATAATAACTAATAGTAACAGATTTGAATGGGAAAATTCATTGCTGCCATTAAGGGCTAGAGGACTCAAACAAATGGTATATTTCTGAAAGTTCAAATATACAGGCTGGCATAGGCTTTAACAGCATTGCATCCTTCATTCCATAAATATTTTTTTTTTAACATGAAGAAAAGGTTTTTGAAGAAATACACTTTGAAAAGACCAAAAATTATATTCAATTAAAATAAATTGAATTTTAATAAACATATTAAATTTGAATACAAACATTTCAATTTGAAGCTTTGAACTCGGTTCCATTGTAAAACTTTGTCATAGTATAGTGAAAAATTAGGAAATTTTGTTAACTATCTGTTATTTTGTTAACATCTGACCACATTTTCAAAAATTGAATGTTCTAAACTATCTAAAAACTATTAATGTTATTTATGTAAGACTTTTCTTTTGAAGTAATTCTCAAAATGCATGGTTTATTTATAAAATATAGAGCAATTTTCCTGGCTTTCCCAAGTAGGTTTATTTAAAATTTAAATATTCTATGTAAGTTTTCAACTAATAAAATTTAGGTTTTGAGTTTTTAATCCAATAATGCAATATTAAATTTGTGTTTATTAACATATAATTTATTCGTTATAAAAAATCTGAACTAATTGTAATCATAATGATGAAATCATGTAATTAAATTACTTTTAAATATTATCGCCCATAATTGTTTTTAAAAAAAAAAGTAATGGGAAATTTATTTAAATTCAAATGAAACTGTAATTCAGTCTTTTTGAAATTTCGAACCAACTCAAAAATAACCTGAATGGCTGTGATTACAGCTTTTCTGTGTAATAAGTGATACAAGAAGTTAAAAGCACTTGTTTTGGAGCATATTAGATAAATTTTTGCCAAAAAAGTTGCTATTAACAGAAAAAAATTTAATTGCCATTTTTTAAAATATTTAGTTGCCATATGCTCAGTGGTGACTGTTCAATTTTTTTTTGTATGTCATAGCTTTCATAATTTTTTTAAAGCTCTAAAACAAATTTATTTACTAGTTCGAAGTTCAATCAATCAATCAATCTAGTAGCAGTTAAGTTCAATCTAGTTGCAAGCATTTATGTCTGCGTATGCATTTCCTTCATAATTATTGACTTAAAATTATTATTATTATCTGATTTGCAAGATATATGTTAATTTTCAGATGTCTTGCAAAACCAGAGTCAGAGGAACTGAAGATATTTGCTTGAGTCCTTCTTACAAAGAAAGAGCTCTGTGGAAAGAGCATATTCGCTCCCGTACTGCTTCTGGCAACAGTCCGACATCGGGCTCATTCTCCTACATGTCTGACTCCAGTGACAGCACCAGTAGGGATTACATGTCAGAGAGCATGAGAAGTGAGAGCTTCAGCTATGAGGATGAAGACGAAGATGCGGGACTTGGATCGGAGGAACACAATTTTCCATTCCCCATGAATAACAGTGACTCTGGCGTGGGATCTGCCAAAAGGAAACGCACAAGATGTTCATCTGAATGCAGTGTTACTGATGTAAGTAGCTAATGTTAATTTTTAGTTAATTATTTTAACCCTTTTAGTGTCAGAAGTCAGATTTGTGAAATGACTTCTATAGAATGAGACTTAATACATAAATTAAAATAATCAGCTTTTTGTTAAAAATCTTAAGTTGATTAATGTGACTAAATATTAATTTAAACTGCCTTCTTTTTATGTCAACTGTTTGTTTTAAATTCTTCTAAAAATTCTCAGCATCGGTCAATATTTAACTGTGAGTAGTGATCATATATTTTATTTAATTTTTTTTAACAATAGTAATATTTGAATTTTTGAATTTGATTCCAAAATATCTTTTTAATGAATAATTATTATTTTTTAATAAAAAAACGAAAATTTTGACTTAATTGCCTGATTTAAAAAATTTACTTAAAATATTACTTAAACATATAAGAAAATTAAGTTCATAAATCACATTATAAAAAGCATAGTTTATGCAATTATAAGGGAGACAGAGCATATCCTTTATATGTTTGGTCAAACCTTACTGCTTAACAAATCATTATTAAATGCACTTGGACATTTATATTAGCCACGGAAATTTAGAGGTTTAATATCACACTAATTTATAGTTATCTAAAATTTTAGTAAGGTCTTTTTGATGTGCACAACAAAGTTTGAAATGTCTAAGTTTCCCCTTGGATGAACTTAAATAACTTTTCAGGTTTGGTACATATCTTGGAGACTTCATCTGGAAATTTTTATTTAATTATAAAGTAGTAGGCTTTTGAGCCCTTTTTCAGCCCAAATTTTGTTGGCTGTATGCCATGATGTGTATTACTAGAAACTTGCAAGCCAAAATGAGGAAAGCAATATTGTTAGGATTTTTAAAAATGTATTTTTTGTTAAAAGTTGTTTTTCACTTCAGTTTATATAGCACAAAGTATGCCATATCCTTTTGGAGATAAATTGATATTTTTTTTTAAATAATGTTTATTAATTATGAATGTAAAGATGTAATCTGAAAGCGATATGTTTCGAATTGTGGTGTGTTTCTTTCTTTATTTTTTATTTGCAATTATGTACCCTCTGCATAGGTAAAAAGAATTTTATAATCTTATAATAGTTTAAGATATGAAATTTCAATTCTGTGATATTCTTTGGAGGATTTTTATTGAGGTATAAAATGAGTGTTTCAAATTGGTGAAGTAACCCATATCCAAAAGTTGTGTGACAATTAATCAAGCAATTTAAAGCATAAGTATTTAGTTAGAAATTAAGGACAGAGTTTATTAACTTGATGTTATGCAATTGAACTGTTTGTAATTTTCTTGTTTTATATAATTTTCTTTTACATAACAGGAAAATGAAATAGTAGAATTTGCTGAATTAGTTGCTCGTAAGTCCAGGCCTTCATGTGTACACAACGAAGTGCAAATGCGAGATTTGCAAAATGAAAATGAGAATAAATACTTTGGTCACTCTGTTCTCGGGCAGGTAAGTGAATAAATTCTCATCTAATTTACTTTTAATGATGTAGGGTAAACTAACCAGTGAAGGAACACTTAAGCTTCGCTTGCCTTTTTAAAAATCATATTAATTTCAAAATTCGTAATTTTAGTTAAATGTCAGTGTCAACATATTTGTTACTAATTGCAAATTATGTAAAAAAATTTTAGAGAACTTACATAATATTGTTTTAAAGTTTTGGAGGTTCAAATAACAAGTAGTGAGAAGATCAAGTGAAGGAACAGCTCTTACCAGTGAATGAACACCCAGTAAAGGAACACTTAATTTTGGTTACTTTTTAATGCTCTTTATGAATTTATAAGCCATACAAATATTTAAAAACAAGCCTATTCTTGAAATTATAACATATAAATACTTGGAAAATGTTAACTTTTTTTTGTAATCATGAATTGAAAATTAAAGTGTCAACATATTAACACATACTGTTCATTCACTGGGAAATCTATGCCCAGTAAAGGAACATGCCTGTTCCCTCACTGGTTAGAAGTTGTTTTTCGTATTTTTAACATACTTTTGATGCGGAACATCACTAAAGGTACAAGAAAATTAAAGTTTATCTTTTATTTTCATTAACTTAGAAAAAAAACCAGTAAAGGAACACTTGTTCCTTCACTGGTTTTTCATCGTTTGGTGATCCAGTGAATAAACACCCCCTTATCTCAGTACTTTATTATGCTATGATGCTTAAAAAAAAAAAAAAACGTAACTTCAATAACTATATTTTGAATTCTCTTTTTCACAGTGAGAAAAATAAAACTATTACATGCAATTAATTCCACTTCAAACATATAAATATAAACACTCTCCTTATAACTTTTTCAAAGAAACAAGGTGTTGCAGAGATAATAACAAATTCAAAATTTTTTCCAGAGAAGTCTATGTGACCAGGTAATCCAAAACATTGCTAGATGACTTCCTATTGTTTGGCAGTAAGCTATTGTTACCAATCAATCTAAAGAAAAACTTTCAAATTCTTATTTTTAATCAATATATATAAAATGTTCCTTCACTAGTTGGTTTACCCTATACACTGACAATAGTATTTTCAATTCATAGATATTTATTTTGAAGATAGGATAACTTTTAAACATTTTGATAAACAGCAGAAATAAATTTAAACTATTCTTGTTAATCATATATATATATATGACCATTGATGACCATTATTGATGATATATTGATGACCATTGATTAAGTCACTCAAAAATCAATAACGATCACACTTATCCTTTAATAATTAACAAAGTTTTCACTCAGAATCATGAGTCACGGACTTTCTCAAACCACACAGGTTAGTTTAACACTTACAACTTCTTTAAACACAAGTATCTCAGGCTCATATTTTAACCATCTAGGTTTGCTTTTACATTTTCAACCATTACTCTTCCTTCCCATCGAAATAGTTCTCACAGTTTTATTAAGGAGAGCAACATCTATCGGTCTTTACTCACGCAGAGGTTGTTTCGTCTCGTTTGTCACACACACACATATATATTGAAAATATGATGACTTTTAAACTTGTTGAGAAATTACGGGAAAAATTTTAATTTTAGTTGCATAATTTTAAAATGAGTTGAATAACAAATTCAGTAAATTAAAATTAAATTCACTTGTATGCATATTTTAATGCATAACAATTTCAGTTAAATTTAAATTTTCTCTCTGAAATTTTTTAAATTTATTTACCCACCCTAATGTCATACAAATTTAAATGCATATAAATTAAGTTGAAAAAGTCTAAATTTAGTTATTGAACAAATTTTATATTATAAAATAAAATTTAATTGCATACTATTATAAGCTAATAGTAAGCCATTACTATTGTATGCATTTAAAGTGCTTAGTGGTAAGACTTATTTAATTGGTAAATTTACTTATACAACAAATGTATCCAATCTCCTTCCGTGGATGAAATATAACAATCTTTTAATTAATAATTTTGTTTTTAAAGTGTAGATTTTAAATACTTTTTAAGTGTAATTAACAATTGAATCTTCTTTACATTGAAAAGGATGATGCAATATAAGTGTATTTGTTTGCTGTTTACTTTTAGTACCCTGCACATATAAATCCACAATTCAATCAGCATTTTTTTCTACATAGCAAACCAGTTTTACCCACATTACCACATTATTAGGTAAGGAAAAAGTATTTTTGGGAAAATATTTTTGTAGATACATCATGTGTTAGTTAAATCGCTGTATGCAGAAAGAGCTTCAGTCCTGATAACTATTTTTGTGAGGAAGCTATCTTGACTTTTTCTACCTGTATAAAAAATCAGGAGAAAAAAGTTGTGAATATCAGAGTGTGTGACTTTTTTAAAAAGTCCTTAAAGGTGCTTATTTTTGATTTACGTTTTTTAAAAGCCCTTAATGGTGCTTTTTTATTCGGGATTTGTAAAAAGTGCTTAATTTTCTATCTTTTAAAATTCTATCTATTCTTTTTTCGATCGTTTATATATTTTTTATTTTCTATCTTTTTCTTTTCCTTGTGGATTGTTGTTCTAAAGTACAAAAAATGCATTATTTTCTCAATTTTCTCTGCAATATTTATCAGAAATTAGTTATTTTATCATGAATATGTAAAGTTTTTGAAAATGTTTTTGAATTTTATTGTTTGTATTATTTTATGTTTATAAATTAAGAACTTCAAACGATAAAAAAAATAATAACTTTTATTACTGCACAGATCCTAATTATGATATTTTTTGTAAAGTGATTAAAAATATTTTTTAAGTGCTTAAAAAGCACTTAAAATGTGCTTGTTTTTTGTTGAAAAATCTGACTAAGCACCCGGTATATGGTTCAGTATCTATGGCATAAACACGAAGAAAAAAATTTTTTTAATAGTTTTTTCTATTTATAGGAAAAGCGGAAGCTAGTTTTATTTTTATCTTTTAGTGAAAAGTTGTTAACCTGACTCAAGCCATTTCTGAATGCAACCATTGAGTTATAAGTACATTTTTTACTGTATTCTTGTTAATATTTCAGATCCATTTGGATTTGGCGAAATATCATGAATTGGGCAGATTCAGTGCTGAGGGTGAGGATTATGATCAAAATGCAGCATTCTTTCATTTAGAGCAAGCTGCAAAATGTGGCAACCTGGAAGCCATTAATGTCATTTCAAAAATATATTTGAAAATTCCTCATGACTTCCTCATTGCTGTGACTGTTAAAGTAAGTCATCAGATCATCAATGCATGAATAAGAGGAATATTATTTGTTAAGAAAGACAATATAAAAAGACATTTACAATTTATTTATTTTATTATTGTTTAATTATTATTACTTAAGTATTTTTTAATAAAAAAAACTATACATAATTTTTTTTGGCTAAATAATAGACCATAAGATATTTGGAATTTTGAAACTGCATTTAAATGTTTTTTTTTTAGAAGAAAATATGAATGTTAATATTTGTAATAATGTTTGAAAGGAACACTCTTATAATCTAAAAATTGTTTATAAATATTAAATAGTGTTACATATCTGCCAATCTATGCTTTTTTTTTTGTTGCAATATTTGTTAAAGTGGTAATGAAATAACTATTGGTTTAATTTTTTTGAAATTTACTTCATTTTAATAGTATGTAAAAACATTATTCCATGATTTTTAGGACTTTTATCTATATGGTTTATATCTTTGTATGTCATAGTAGTTAAAATTATTTTAAATCAGACTTGGCATTTCATATAGAGGAAACTGGAGAAAATAGGGAGAAACTGGACGGAATGGGTGAAACTAAAAGTTATTTATGCAATTGTCTTACAATGAGTATTACAAGAATAATTGCTTAAAAAATTTAAGTTAGAAGTTTTTCACATGTACATTTTTAAAGAAAAGCAAACTATTTTCATATTATTCAATTTAATTTTATACAAAACTTTAAAATCTATTATATAAGAGTCATCATATTATATAAGAGTTGGTTTGAGTGTTCATACTTAACTATATTTGATTATAAAAGTTAGTATGCTATTTGTAATTGTGTGTGTCTTTTGTGTTAGTGTGTATCTTTAGAAAGTGGTTTGTTAATTTAGTACTACAGTCTATGCTTTTTAGTACAACCTCCTATTGTTACAATCCTTTCATTATAACAACTTATACATGAAGTCCTGTTTGCTGTTCCTTAGACATCATGCCATTTTAAATATATCGACCAAAATTTTATTTCCTTTTTGCCCTATATTCTGTTCTATGCATATGTCCCTATATGCATAGAACAGAAATTAAAAATTTGGCAGGAAGTGGATAGAAGAATTGCATAAACGCCACAAATTGCTTAAAATATTCAAAATCTTAGAAATCACTTTATAATAATTTAAAATTTTGATGTAATTTTGAAAACAGGAGTGCAAGGTACTCCAGTTTTAACCTATTGTTCTCGTGAAAGAAAATTTTAAACTCTAGAAAAGGCACTGATTGACTTCTAAAATTCATGCGTAATATTAAATTATGTCATTTGAAAAATTGTAAATGTATTCTTAATCTTTAATGTATTATATTAATGCCTGCTTTTTTTGACGTAAAAAAACTGCATTATTGTCCTTTATTTTATCAGTTTCATAATTCTTTTTAATGAGTACTATGTTTTTCTCAAAATCAGTTCAGTATTTATAAATTATAAGTAAATATTTGCTCTAGTTTTGTGTCTTCACAATATAGCAACCTCACATTATAACATCCATTTTTGTTAGGACCATAGAGATCATTAATCGAGATTAGATTGTATTAATAAGATATAAAATTCATGAATACTATTTAAACAGTTCTTTATATAGTTGTAAAATTTGATTTTATTATACATTATCACTTAAAATTTTGAAAATCTGCTATTTTAATTTCTAATAAAATTCATTAAATTTATTTATTTTTTCCCCCCAACTGTTGCTTCTTAATTCTCACTTATTTAAAAATGTGTATTAAATATTTTGAAAAAGTTTTCTTACTTCTTCCTCTCAGGTTGAAGAAATCCTATTTCCAAGGAGCTTTTTTAATGCTGATTTTTCTAATGTGGGAGAAACGTACCATTTCCATTTTAAATTACGTTTATTAACCCATAAATGTAACTATTAAATTATAAACTTTACTACCACTAGAAAAATTTTCTATAAAAAGTTGGCAGTTGTGGTATTTATTATTTTACCAGTTCTTTGAAGAATAAGAGTGTTGATTTTTTTTTCTCTGTAGGAAAGTGAGGAGAATGTAGCTATTGGCATGAACTACATGAAACAAGCTGCTTGTTCAGGAGACAGAGCTGCCATGATATTCCTTGCAAAAGCTCATGACACTGGAGATAATGTGATGTTAGTAATCTTATATTTTTGTATCGTATTTAAGTCATAAAACTAAACAAATAGTTTGCGTATGTAAGCTAATCTTTTCCAATAATGACATACATTTCATGTTTCATTTTCAGCCACAAGATCATTTATTTTTTTGGTTGATTCTCATATATTGTTGATAAATTTCATTTGCCTCACTTTGTTCCTCATAGACCGCTTTGTATAGAAACTTGGAAAAGCCTGGTTATCTGCAGTAGTTTAAAAATATTATTAGAAAGTGTGGGGTTAGTGGTAGAGTTCATATTAAATGAAAATTTGTTACAAAATTCATAAAAAAATTTTTTTGTTCAAATTTTACTTTTTATATTTATTTATAAGCACACTGAAAATCGTTAACGATAGTAATATTTTGTGAAACAGAATGTTCATAAGATATAATTACCATTGAGGAAAAGGTTATTTTTGTAGGGCAATATTTTAATATTTTCTAAAGGTATGACAAATAGGTTGCTTTGGAAGAAGAAATACAAGTAATAGTGAATCAATTTTACTATGAACTGTAGTTTATAAGGGAATTATAATAAACAAAGTTCACATTATTATCATGTTTTCGCAGCCTCTTAAGAAATTCAACTATGCCTTCTCATTCAACTAAAGCAAAGTTATAGAAGTACTTTTAAAGATTTTTTTTTTTTAAATATTTAGGCAAGGAATTATATGCTGTAAAAATGACTGAAAAATTATTTTAATCTAGCCTACATTGTTCTTCAGCCAAAAGAAATAACTGATAAAATCCAGTTACCAGCAATTAACTGACAACTGGTAATAAATGTGATTTTGTTATTTTGTGCTTGTGAGTTTAGGTATTGCTAATAAAATATCCTCGCCAAAAGAGATTTTAAAATTATATACCTCAAAATTTTGAAGATTAGCCCTTTTTAATATTAAGAACTATTATCTAGTTTAAAAAAAAACTTGAAAAGTGTATTTAAAATAAAATGAAAAATATATCCTTCTTAAAATTTCCCTTTGAGTGATTTTCCTTCTGTGAGTTCTAAAACCTCTAGGTAATCCAGTGATCTCTCTTCATTCCTTTTCTATTTTTGTTTCTACTCCAGGTTTAGTTTATAATACCTTTTGACTATTTAAATCAACTTTTTTAGATATTTAATATTGTCCAAATTCGTGTAAGACAAGTGGTCACCCATTTTGTGAGGTCAATCTAAGCAAAAAAAAAAAAAACTCCGTAACTAGTTTGAATATTAAATCTGTTTTTCAACCTATTTTCAATGCATTTTGAAAAAAAAAGAAGGGAAAACTATTGCATTAAAATTCCATAATCTAAAGAAAATACTTTTGAAAAAAGGAAATCGACTACGTATAAAACATTTTCAAAAATGTAGTTCAAAGATTTATTTAAAAATAGAGGTTAAGGCAGCACAAATTCTAGACTAACAACATGATGGTGGAAATGTAGTCAGCATTGTACACTGACTTCCTTCACCTCTCAGACAAGCTGGTACTCGTTGATCTGAATGTGGTTAGGCTTCAAACCACCACTGGAAACAAAACCAGAGTCCTAAATTTTTTTTCTCCCAGTGAAAGTTAAAAACTTGTTGCTTCATTTCAAGTGCGCAAAACTTCAAGCGTTTTTTTAATTTGAAAACAGAATAAATATACAGGGTAATCTGTATAAGTTACCCACTTTTGGAACATAAATTTGATGTTCTACTTGAACAAGTAATCAGCTTATGGAAGGTGAATTTAGTTGTTTTTGTCTGGTTGGTGATCATTAAATTCAATTCAGAGGTTCAACTTACACAGGTGGTTAACTTAACAGTTTTCACTGATACTTCGTAAATGTGGACATAAAAATTACTCTCAGTTTCTGAGACAAATAGATATTGTTTCTATTATGCTGAGGAATAGTTAAGTTATTTATATCAAAGTTTGTGATAATTTCTTTTTTGTTTGTGTAGAGAAAAGAATTGGAAAGAGGCTGTTTATTGGTATGAGAAAGCCATTAAAACAGAAGAGATTGACGAAGGAGGAGAATATGATGCATGCATGCATGATCCTAGCTATGAGCTTCTTGCTCGCCAGGCAACCCTTTACAAGGAGGGTGGCTATCAACTACAAAAAGATCCTTACAAAGCTGGTGAGTGGCTCTTTTTTAGGATTCTTCTGCTCATAAAGTTGCCTGTGTGAAATGGCTGTACATTTATTTTATTCATATTTATAAATTAATACGTTATGTTGACACATATTATTAGAATACTCTACCAACTATTTAACATTGGCGCCAGTTTGGTTCAAAATTGGCTCAATATGGGTCCTGTGAGAACATGTACCGAGGGACCAATATTGGAATGTCTAGATTTGTCAATATTGGTCCTATATCGGGCCAATATTGGCCTATATGCTATCTTCAATATGCAGCCTATATTGGCTGAATAGTGACTATAAAATATCGGGTGAATCTGTCAACTCTATATTGGGCTGATATTGGTTATAAGTGGCTGCAAAATATCGGGTGAATCTGTTGACTATATTTTGGACCGATATTGGTTGTAAAGTGGCCATAAAAAATCGGGTGAATAGGAGAATTTTCTGTAGGGCTAATATCGGAAAATAACGGCCTCTTGAACTCTTCTTGAGCCAAGATTCGTGAATATTGGTCCAATAAGGACCCAAGTTATTTTGCTGCTAGGATAATATTTTAACAAAAAAAAATTTTTTTTGTTGTTAAACTTGAGGAATTCTTTTTTTTTTTTGTATTTTGTCAAAAATAACTTCGTCATGTAACTCAAAATACTTCTTAATAGAATCTTCTTCATCATTTAAAACAATATTTTCTTTTCTTTATAGAAACATGAATTTTTTTTGGTTCATACTTACAAAATTACATGCGTCTTGTTAGTAAGTCAATAAGTGTATATGCCATGAGGTAATCATAGTTTGTTAAAGTAACAAAAATTTTTTAAAAAAATAACTTGAGAAAACTTTTTACTTGGATTTTGTCAAAAATAATTTTTTCATATAATGCGAAACTTCTCCTTAATAGAATCTTTGTATTTTATGCTTTTTTTATTTTATTATGGAAATACTAATTTTTGTTCATACTTACTATATGTGTCATACTTTTAAATTAATCAGACATATGCAGTTCAGTAATCAAGTGTTGTATTTGCATTGAATTGTATTTTGATAAAGCTAATTTTTTTGTTAAATTTAAAAAACTTTTTTATTTAGATTTAGTTAAAAAAGGAACTTTCTTCAAATAACTTTAAAAACATCTTAATCAAACCTTTGTCATTTAAAACAATATTTATTTACTTATTTTTTCATCATAGAAATACAATTTAATATGTTCTTTTTAGGTGAATTATTCAACTTGGCTGCTGAAACTGCTCTAGCTTGCATGAAAGGGAAAGTTGCTAACAAGTACTACATGTATGCCGAAGAAGCATTCGCTGAGGCTGATGAATAATTTTGAATGATGAATTTTTTTCTCTGTTATTTTATGGTTTTCATATTTGTGTTCCATAATACACACATGTTTATTTGTATTTAAATAGATTTGCTTTTTTATGAAGCTCACGATTTACAATTGTTAAGTTAAGTTGCGAATTACTTTTAAATTAATTTCTAATTTTATGTTGTTCTTTTCTTTTTTTTAGTTTTAAACCTTAAGTACTTGGTCTGGTTCATCTTCAACATTTAATTAAATTAAATGGAGTGAAGCAATTTGTTAATTACAATTAACAGTTTCCATTAATTTTAGTTGCATCTCATTGAATATTGGTTTCTTTTTTATTAGAAAAGAAATTTCAGTGGGCAAAGCTTTTTATTAAATTTGAGCATGATTTTCTAATCATAACTGTCTTCACACAACAAAAATGTTATAAAAAGCACGAAATGTTAATATTTATTATATTGCAGCTAATTTTGCATCAAAAAGCCTCATCTAACAAGCTTGTATATTTTTTTCTCTCAAAATAACAGTAATATAAACTAGCCGAGTTGGAAATAACTTAAGTGTTTAAAATATGCACTGTAATGCATTTAAAACTGCGGCTGCCAGTAGTTTAAAAATATTAATAAAAAAAAACACTAAGCTGTCTGCTGTTTAGATACCAGTGCTCAATGCAAAATAGTTATATAATAACAGGTACATTAATCTAAAGTCTACTGTTAAAATCAATATTCTGAGTTATTTAAGTTACATTCTACAAGATGATTTTAATATATTTTTGGGCAAATCTAAATCCTAAGCGAAAAAGTCTTTCTTGAAATCTGGAGTGATTTAGCTTAAGGCAGTTACACATCCACATTTCAAACGTTTTTTAAATAAAAATGTGAAAAATTAAGTGAAAAGGTAATTTGCATAAAATTAGATGTTCATACTGCGGAGAATAGATTAAAAAAATATTTAAAGAAAATCAATTTTTGAATATATTTTAAAATTTTTATGTATTTTTTAAAATTTATTATTGTTAATATGTATGTAAACTTTTTTGCATAGTCTTAAGTCTTACGACTCCTGTCTCTCCACTGGTTAGTTTTTATTTACTTTTTTAATATGCAAAAAAGTTAAAAGGTTTCTTCAAAATTTTAGACATTATACCAATTTTTTTCTCTATAACAATTTTGCTTTTTTTGAGTTTAAATTGTAGATACAAAGTCATTGCTTATTGGCTCAAATTTGATGCAAACACTTTTTTAATTTTCTCAATATTTTCATCTAACAAATTCTTGTGAAGCTTGCAATATGTTTGTATTGTAGAATGTGCTTTAATTTTATGAAACAAAAACTCACTTAACACCTTTTTATTTTGTTATGAAAAAATCTAAACTTATTTAAACATTTAATTTTAGCATGTTTTAAGCTGAATTGTCTAAAACTGGTTTATTTTTATTTTGTCATAGATATAGATTCCTTGACTAAATATTGACCAGTTTTTGTTGGTAGGGTCATTTTTTTTACATAGGCTCTAAATTTGATCCATTGTAATGGACAATACTAGATTTGATAACCAGTCTACTTAATTCATGATTCTGAGTTATACTGAGGTGATATAAAATTAGTTTTCTGCGAAAATTTATATTTAATAAGATGGACTAAGATGATAGCATATTTAATTAAACTAAGTTGAATAATTTAATTAAAGTATAATTTGTGAGTGCAGTCAAATTACTCATGATCTTTCATATTTGCTTCTTTATGTGTGTTTTGATCGCTTGTTTGTTTATATGTTTTTGTGATATTTTTATAAAATCATGAAGTTTCCATTTTGTTTTCATTTTTCTTGCTACGTTTATTATGTTTATTTGATTTTTTTCTTATGCATTTGTAAGTTTGTTCCAAGTTTCGGTAAATTTAATGTGTAGCTTTACTTGCTCATTTGTCATTCATACATTTATGCATCTTTGAATTTTAAAATACTATTATTTCTTGTCAATTTAATCAAGTAATTGATAACTTTATTAATTATCTTAATCAAGAAGTATTAATAATTTCAATTTCTTCAGTTATTTCAAATATCAATGAAAGTGAAGTTTCTGAGAAACTTTCTTTTTTTTTAGTTTGGCTTTTGTTTTGAAAATGATTTTACTTTTCATTGTAAAAAAATGCTTTTGTAGATTTGTTTCACTCAAATTATTTCATCCACATATTGATTCTTTCATTTTCTTTTCTTTCTTGTTTATCATGTATCCACATTTAAAATGGCCTAATTAAGGAAGCTAAAACTCATAAGCTAATTAGTTTTTTTTAAGGGATAAATGATGAATGTTTTTTGATACTTATTAGTTGCAGAAAGTTTTTTTAACTTTAGGAAGTCTTAATTTTTTTTAAAAATATGTTTGTAAGGTTTGTAGCATTTCTGATTGTACTTAAAATAGTCTGTATGTTTTTAATTTAATAAGATATTTTAGTTTTGATAGGGAAGAAGTGTTTGTGAAAAGTAACAAAAAGGTCTTTTTTTAAAAAAAAATTTAATATAATGTACTTTTTTGACAACGGTAATATGTTAATGTTGACAAAGGTAATACCGAAGGTTGATTTTAGTTATTTTATAGTGTTTATACAAAGACTTTAAACTTTGCAATTCTTTTCATATTACATCTGTAATTGGCTGTAATTATTATTTTAAAATAATCAAATTCAATTTCACGAAAAAATTCATTTTTAATTTAAAAAAGTAATTTATTTAGCTTTTTTATGAAATGCAAAATTGTTAAGAAATCCTCAAATTATAATTTTAATTGCTTTTATAGTTATTGCGTTGTTTAATATTTTTACTATTCTTATAATAATATAAGCCAAAAATTGTTAAGTAAGCTTAAAATTGTTGCATAAAATAGTATGATTAAGGTTTTATTTTCCCTGTTATGTTTTATTTTATTTCTCACTCTAGTTTCAGAGATCTCTTTCATCCGTTGTTTTTTTATTATTATTATATTTTTAGTATTTTCTTTTTTTGTCATGGTTGTTTTATTGCTACTTTTCATAATGGTGCTCTGTTTGAATCTTTATTTTTCGACTTAATAACTTTGCCAGATGGAAACAAAAAAGTCAAAAACACTTTCAAAGCTATGATCTTCTAGGTATCTTGTATGTGATGTATGTTATTGTGTAACTCTCTATTGCGTTTGCTTTCTTTCTGCACTTTGTATGTTGACATATTTTGCTTTTGACAGCTTATCTTTGTGTTTTTGTATGATTTAGCCAATTTAGAAAGGCTTATAAATGTGTGACTTAGTCTGCTTTTCATTTTATGTATGGGCTTTGATATTTGTGAAATAATCTCAATTTGTTATACTTGCATTCAGCTCTCTATTAACTGATTTTTTTTTATATTTTTACTATGCATAGTTATATCTTTATGTATAGTGTTAGCTAAACATATACTCTTTGTAAAAGAAATAGGTGGTTCAACGCATGTTTCAACTCTCTGTATTATTATAATTTTTTTTCTGTTGCAGTATTGCTTTTAAATAGTGTTTTATTGGTAAAAGTAAATTAAGGGAGACTTTTCAAGTTTAAATATATATGAGTATATATTTGAACTTGTTTTGTAACAACTGATCTTAATATACATTTTTTCAATTGTTGTAAAAAACATGCTCATTAAGAATTGCAAATGAATATGTAAGTGAGAAAGAAACGAAAATATTATCAAAATCTATCCACTCAATATTAATAAAAGATAGACTAAAAATGTCAAAACCTGTTTGATTGGAGGTCAGAGGAATGTAGAAAAGGGATTAATATGAAGAACTTTCTATGTTGGCAATCAAACTGATGATGTTTTTCTTTCCCTCTTCTTTACTAGTGATTCGATAAATTTTGATATTGATTTTTCTCAATTATATATTAATTTGCGGCTCTAATGTGTATACATAATAATAACGTCTAATGTGTATATGGTACTCTCTGTATAAATTTTTCATTTTGCAGCATGCTCAATCGAGTATATTGTTCTGAAGGCATGAATCAAAATTTCTGTAAATAAAGTAACAGCATTTTAGCATAGGGAGGAAATAAACTTCCGCAAAGTTTAAATGTTGTTTTCTTAACAATGTTTCCCTTACTCACAGACACAATAAATTGTTTCTGTGTGCATCAGATTTTCTTGGAAATTTAACACCTCATATTAAATAACCCAGTTTCTGTAGCAGATAGAATTTATATTGATTGAATTTATAGTTTTTTAAAAATTAAATGTGAGTACTTAATTTTAAGGAAGTCCCGATTTGTCATTTACTGATGAAATTTTATAAATGCAATGAAGAAAATCTATATGTAATTTAGTTTTGCACACAATTGAAATTTTTCTAGTGTATCCTAAGGAAAATTGAAGGATTTATTATGTATCCAAGTGGAAAAAAACCCTTTAAAGCTTGTTTTAACTATACACTTTTCAATACAAAAAAATGCTATATTTTTCTAATCTGAATGAATTTTACCGAATTCTGTTCTGTTATGTATTCTATAAAATGTGAATTTTTTTTTTCCTTTTTAAAATTTGACCACGGCTTTTAGCTACCAATTTGTATCTTTTTGTAAAATGAACAATCCTTAAAAAAGAGCTCTGTACACTTGGTTTATGAATAGAAAATGTAAAACATGAATCATTAATAACTTTTGCATAGAGTATATTTATGAAAAATGTCTTGCCAAATATTGTATGCACTGCATTATAACCTGTGTATTGCACTCACCTTTTCTCTCTGTAGTTGTAATTAATGTCAATTTTTTGTATGTTTATCGCTAAACTTCTGAAGAAGTTGCATACTTATGTACACAGCAGAAATGTTGTCAGCATCCGTTTGAATCTGTCCCAGTGATTTATGAAAGGAGCTTAAATAATCATTAGTGATTAGCCAGAAGTATTATGATCAGACAATTGTAGTGGAATGAAGACACTTTTGGATAGTTATTGTGTCAATTTTATTCTTTTATATACTAACATCTAATCGTAGTTTTGATTGGTAGATAGTAAACTTTGTATTTGTTACTAGTAGTGATATTATTTTCTAGTTGTTTGTCGATTTAAAAGAGCTGAATGTCTATTTTTTATGCAGTGCCGATATTCATGTGATATATTGATCTATGCGACATGTTCTCGTTATTTTTTGAAGAAGAAAAATGATAAAAATTATTCTTCCTTGAACATGCTGTCTGGTTATTTGACTTACTATTATACAGGGTGTGTAAATTAAGTAATGAGACTGGCGAGGCTGTGTTTGATATGGCAATCCTATCGATATTTTACAGTCCAGCGACCTTTAACAATTTGTTCTCTTTTTTGGAGATCATTCACTTGGTTGTGGGTGGTCACAATTACAATGCAAGCCTTTGTTTGTTTTAATATTTGTTATCCGAACATTACCCGAATTTAAGAATTAAGTTTTTTTTTAATTTGAGAAAATGTCAAACGGGAGAGTGGGTCATTAAACGCCAGTAGATTGGAAAATCGCATTCTGGACCCACTAAATTTGGAGAAGTGGTTTGTCAGCCTTATATATATTTCAGTGCAAGTGTGAACTCGGTAAATTTATATGGTTTTTCATAACCTAACTATCTACAATTACCTTAAAAATATCCTGTTTTCAAAAATTTTCCTGTTATCAAAAATTTTTTTTGGCAAAAGAAATGAATTAGTTTTATTCTTATAGGCGCGTTACTACTGAACACTCCAGCCCGTCAATATCATGGGAGCGAGAAATAGCGGGCGAAAACTCACCCCGTCATTTTCACGGGAGCGAGAATAATTAATTATAATAATCATAATTTAAAAAGTAATGCAATGTAATGCATACTCCTAACTATTAATTTAGAAATAATAATTATATCATGAACTGGAACACGAAACGTTAGAATAGATATGCATGTACAGCTTGAAGTTAACAAACTTGTATTAAGTGTAGATTATTTTTATTCATGTTTCACTTGCTTTCTAACATACACAGTTTAGTTCAAATTTCAGTCCAATTATTTCCTGTCTCCTTATTTCAATTCAATGCTTTACTGAAATTGATAGTTTAAAATAATATGATTGGTGGAGTTACAAAATTTTTATTGCTCGAGCTTTCTGTGAGTATTTCTGCTTTGAAGTCATTTATTACATTCAGCAACAGCAGTAACAGCGACCGCTTCTTGGTTTTTCATGTTGTCTTTTGAAAAGTTTTTCCAAACAAGGTGCATCAAACATAACTTTTATACCTGGAAATAAAGTTTATAAAAAATTAATTTTGAAAGAACGAAATCGTGAGACAATGAAGTTTATACTGGACAATTTTATTTTATTTTACGAGGGTTGTAAATTAAATAGTGGCAACTTAATCTTGAAACTCACAGAAGGGCTAGCATGCGCAAATATGATATGGGAGCGGAGAGGTGGCGCTGTTGTCGATGTGTAGAGTGCAAAAAACAGTCGATCTGCTTAGAAGGGTAGTTGTTGTGTGGCGTTAAAGTGAGGAGTTTCGTTTCCATCGCTCTAAAGCATGTT